GATTTATTAGTTTCTTTGTTGCCTGTATAGGATATTGTTTTTTAATGTTTGATGTTTTGTTGTGTTTTTATATATGTTGTAAGCTGCTCAGAGAGGCTGGGATATTAAAAAATAATAACTAAAAAAGGTATTATTATTATTAAGAATTGAAATGCCACTGCAGAAAATCTCCTGTTTCTGGTATTCACAAAATAAGTCTGATTTAAAGGGAGGACAGAGCCTAAGACAATAATATTAAACAACTGGTACACTGTACCTTTCAGAGCACCCTTCTCCTCACTTTGCTGGTATGTCCAAAGAAGGCACAGGGATAAAATATTTCCAATCCAAGTAATGATATCAGTTTTATGCATGGTGTCATGGAAATGCAGTTTGTCCTAGGTAGGATTTTAGTTATCTTAAATAAATAGGCAAGGCCACAGATAATCAGCAAGACATCCAGTAGGTACGCCTTTATTTATTTAATTCTACTGGAGTAGGTCTGGACCTCAAGGTCAAAACCCAAAAGCGCTGCCTTTCAATTGAGGACAACGCAACAACCTAAATTTGAATGTTTCATAATAATCCGTTCATAATATTTCTGAAATGTGACTGGTAATTTCTCCTGTTGTTCATGTTTTACATAAAAAAGAAACACTTTTAGAGCAGTATTCAAAGTATGCCAGAATAAATTATAATTAATCCAATGAATGATATCAGTTCTATGCGTGATTTTTGCTATTTGTGTTATACATAAACAGAAGGGTTGCATCCAGTCATGCCTTTAAGCAAACGGGAGAGTCCTTCCATTCATAAAAGAGTATTTTGCCTAATGAAAGCTTTCACTAGTGGAAGAAAGGAGGCAATTTGTCCTTCCCAACTGTTCTAGAAGGTCCTCCAACACTTCAGAACAGATTTCTCGGCAGCTATGGGGGGAAATCAGCGAAGATCAGCCCCACTTCCATTAGCAGAGGTGTCAGCTGGATGAAAAGCCCTTCCGCCTGTGGAACAGAACAATTAGATTCCACCCAATGATCTCATTGTTGCAGTTCTGCATAATTTTTCATTGCATGGCTCTTAAGTCCTTAAAAGTTTATTCAGCTCCATACTACTAAGCAGTAACTGCATAATTGAATGTGCCTCCGAGACAGCGTTTGAGACTTCCCTGAATTAGTAATGCCCAAAGGACTATTTATGGTGGTTTGTAATTAAGAGACTGGGGGCCTTATTTCTTTCTAATTAGAGCTTGCCTCCAAATTGTCATTCATACTGAGAAAGTTATCCCATAATGCCACAAGCTTAATGAAAAGAAATTGTCTTTGAACACAAACACCTTATTCCTCTAGTACCTGGAAACCCTATGGGACAGGGACATAAAAGAATGAGCAGAAGAAATGTAATCATTCTTTGGGTTCATTAGTCTCACAATTTGCATCTAAAGGTGAAACTGGATTCTGACCGTGCTAATATGTAGAAACTGCAGGTTGTATTCAACTAAGGCATTGCCTAAGAGGAACAACTTCTGATAATGGAACAGAAATACCACTCCCTCTTCTCTTCTCCGCACCCCATCCCATGCACCCCTCTAATCTATTTTGGGGGTCCCCCAACTCTCTGGATGATGTGGATGTGTTTGTAGAGGTGCACAAGGGCAGGAGAGGAAATTCTGTTGTGCACGTTGTTCTGCTTGTGCAATGACTTAATTGAATTCAACCCAGGATGTTAGAATACCAACTTCCAATTGCTCACCTCCAAATCCTATTTTTGAAGCATACTCCAAAGATGTAGCTATGTTCATCAGTGCCCATCAGGCAGGGCACTTGACCTTCCCCCTTCCAGAATCCTAGATGTATTTTAATGTACACAGCCACATGAACATCCAGCTAACAAGAAGCGTAGAGCGATTTCTGATAGATTTAGAGTGATCCCATTGAGAGTGGCTGCCCAACTAAGAATCTCTGCCCATTGCTGGAGAACGTTCCTGCGCCAGGAGACAGCTTAGATGAATGCTGCTTGTTCTGATCTAATGACCCAATGACCTAATGATCCTGCTTCTGCAAATGTTATCCAATTTTGAAACCCTAGAAATACAATCATATAAACGAATGCACACCCTGCAACTGTCCTGGAAAAAACAGGACATCCCGTTTCCTCCCACAACAGCATGGTGGCCGTTTTGGGTGCTATGCTCTCACAAGATACTAGGATGTGATCTCACCCCGAAAAAAGCACTTTTTCAGGACTGTGATCTTGAGCAGTGCCCCAAAACATATCTTTTGAGGGTGCTGTTCCCCCCAAAGTGTTTTTTTGAAGCAGTGATCTTACATGGTGCCCCCAAATGTGCTTTTTGGAGCACCAAGCCTGAAAAAGCACTTTTGAGGAGCCACAATCTCACGCAGGTCACATGACTTGTGCAGGAGTGTGGCCCCAGAAGATGGTGTTCCAGTTTTCCCACACACCATGTTGGAGGGTATACAAATGAGTTGTGGTGCCTTTTTGTGTTCAGGTGAGGAGCTTGGGGGTACTTCTAGACCCTGCCCTTCTTTTTGAGGAGTATGTGGGGGCAGTGGTCAAAGGTAACCCAGCAGAATAGAAACCAACAATGCTGACATGGTTCTCAAGAAATGGACAGTGAAAAACCTTTTCTTTGGGAACTGTGTACTGATCATTAGGAACAAAAGTGAAGTGAGAGAACAGAAGAGTACAAGCATTTTGTTTTCTCATAAATATATATGCAGTCACATTTATTTCAGAACTCATTTTAGAAAGACCTAAAACCCACATAATACCACTCTGTACCCCTTGAGAATTTCTTATGTTTTTCAGCCCCCAAGATAACCTTATTTCCTAATTGATATGCTAATCACATTAATGTTTGAGCTTTCCAAAATTCTAATTAACAGCTTGCTTTGTCTCCAGCTAATTCACTAAATACTTGTTTCTTAACAAGATTAAAGGAGGCGGTGGATTTCCATTTTAGAACAAAACTGCTATCCTATATAAATCTAACCAAGTTTAACTGTTTTATACTGAAGTTCTATGCACGCTTATCTAGAAATAAGTTCCATCGCACCCAATGGGCCTTATGTAGGAGCAGACAGGTATAGGATTGCACTGCCAACTTCTCCTGAACAAACTATTGTTTTGTTTTTCATTCCTTTATTTAATTCATTTTATATGAAAAACTCAAGTATTACTGCAGCTTCCTGGGTGTTCTGAGAGCTCCAAGTCCCCTCATGAAACTAAATTCTTAGGATCTATGGAGGGGTGAAGAAGCAATCCATGAGTTACATAGACACTCTGACTTCTGAAGGCAGGAGGGGGGAAGAGATGTCAGTGTATAAACAGGTTCCATATGAAAAATTCACAAATCAATTACCTAAGTGTATTTAGATTGCTTTAATAAGAGGACCTGCAACACAATGTTGCAGTGGAGCAGCCCACCCTGTTCCAGTCAGCCATGCCCTCCCTCACAATACTCCATTGCATTCTTTCTCCCTCCCATCCACTCCTGTTGAGGAGCCAAAAGTTAGCAAGTGAGGACAAACACACACACCCCACAAAAGCCCCCATGGGCTGTTTGAGAGGTTTCTTCACCCTTTTAGGCTTTTCTCTTGCCAGATTTTTTGTACTTCTGCAAAAATTTGTGGTTCTCCTGAGCTAGCTGATACCACCATCCTGTGTATAGGTGCCGCTTTGACTTTATAAGCAGTGGCATTCATGTGTGGGCATCAGATTTAGCAGTATTTCTGCCTTGCATTCTTATTCAAGTGTTGATGCTTTGATATACCCTGTATCTCTTCAGTACATAAGGTTGTTGTTGTTTAGTCGTTTAGTCGTGTCCGACTCTTCGTGACCCCATGGACCAGAGCACGCCAGTACATAAGGCAGTATTCAACAAAATAATTGTGCTAGCAATTAGTGCTACTAAAATAGGATTTCCCCTACCTCTGTGCATGCCACATTCTGTCCCACAATCTGCTCTGGTGGTTGGGGGAACCCTTAGAACAGATTTAGAAGGTGTATGGGGGAGGAAGAATGTTCCACTGAGAAAAGAATATCCCTTGTGCTGAGAGAGCTGGTGACTTTGCGCTACATTGAATACAACCCATAACCTCCAAAATTTATTTTCCATGACACCCCAAACCCATCAGTTTAGATTAGTTTTATGAGAATATTGTGCAAGAAACAAAAGAAAGGAATGAAAATAAAGTTCATACAGAATGTGGCACAAACATGACAAGGGAAGGCCAACAGCCAGAAAGAAAATGGAAGAAAGATAAGTAAATAACCCTGAGAGAAACCGAGGTGGGAGGTGGTTTGCATGTTATGAAAACAAATGATCTTGACATACAGTTCTACATTTCCTACAAAGATTAGATAACTATAGACATGAACTAATGTTCTGTTATCAGCTTCACATGACAGATTTTTATACCTTATATATAAAACTCAGATATGGCTAACTATTGGGGTTAAAACTATTATCTGCCCCTGTTCTTTGTAATAGACAGTGGAGGAGGCTGGCAAAAAGGAAGTTTCTTGGTGGTTGTTTTTCTTGCACAGCTTTTAAAAACAAAGTTTGGAGATTCCTTTGGCAATGCGAAGTGGTATAGAAATGATTTAAAGAAACAATTGAACAAATAAATAATACAGCTCGAAGAGGATCAGATGCAGTGCCAACTCTCCTTCCATATCCACCCAGTTGCCCTATCCTACCATAGACTGGTTGAGCACATGGGACTTTGGGGATAGATGCACCTGCTTTTGCAATGTCCTTGAAGAGTCAGGAGCACAGGGACCATACTTGTACACTGTGGGATGCAACACACCAACACATCACCCTATATGCTGACACAACTGCTCTGAAGAATGGGCTTTCTCAGCCTTTAAACTCCTCTAATGGCTCTTACTGGATTGTTCTGTGCACTGCGCTCTCTGTTTTTCCCCCTTCTGAAAGGACATTAAGGGTAGTCAGTATCTGCTGTATTAGAATACATGAGGATAACTTAACAAACCACCATTTTATTATAGCTGTTTATTTGTATTCGGCTTTATCCATATTATACATTAAGTATTCACATATTGATTAAATGAGAGGAAAAATCAGCTAAAGAAGTTTCAGCAAATCTAGCCCTTAAAAATGGAGAAACAAAGATGTTATCATTTACATTTCTCTAATAAGTCAACTGCTTTTTTCTTTACTATAGTCAAGTGATTGTTTTCATTGTTCTTTTCATTTAATCTTTCCTATTCAGTTATGTAAATAAAATATGTACAGACATTCACAGTTAAAATTTAAGATAATTTGCAACCAATACATTAGTATGAACAGTATATACAGTAACAAAAGATAAATGGTATTCAACATAAACTGGAAAAGTAACTAATACAGGCGATCGTGTTACTCTACACAAAAATATATTTTCACCCACTGATAAGTTCCTGGATACTGATAGCTTTCTTGTAATCAGCAATAGCTTCTTTCATTAAACCCATCTTGCCACGAATATCAGCTCTGAGTTTAAACATCAGGGAATCATACGGCTGAATTGACAGTGCTGTAAGAAGTTAGCATTGTTATTAGCGATTTCTCAGAGTAAATAAGAATGATATGCTAATATTCATCTGAAAGTGCTTGCATAATTTGGATATAGAGTTTATTGTGCAATCATCTTCATATCTACTCAGAAACAAGTCCAGACAAGATAGTCTAAATATTAATTTATTCTATTTTGATATTCAGTCTGTCTCATAGGTTCAAAATGCAGATAATTTCTTTTGCTGCCGCCTCAAGTGAAAGGCAGGAATGTACCTTTGGAGTCCCTTCCAGGATCAGAGCTGGAAAAAAGCACTAGGGGGAGCTAAACCTACCTGGGTCCAGTGTGACATCACAAGAAGAGGAGACGCTAAAAAGCAGTTTGCCCACCTCCAAACACAATTCAAGCCTCATACTGTTGACCAACTATGCATGATTGTCCAGACACATCTAGATTGAAAGTTTACACTCCCTACTTCATGCAGCATTTTTGGGGCTGCATAGTTCTGACCATTGGGATCAGAGAGATCATTTAACAGACCATTTTGAAGTTTTGCAATGCCTTTTTAAAAGAAGAGGAAGGTACCTAAACTACAGTAGCACACTCTCTCTCTCTCTCTCTCTCTCTCTCTCTCTCTCTCTGTACCTCTGAGTATTTTTACCTTTTGAAATGGCTTCCTCAGCTTGCTCATATTCCTGCAATGTACTGTAGAGATTTGCCTTGTTAAAATATATTGCTGCTGAGAAAGGAGAAAGGCAAATTGCCTGCTCAAAATCTGCTTTTGCTTCTTCAAATTTCTTTAACAGTGTATTTGTAATAGCTCGATTTAGGAATGCAGATTCATTTGTTGGATCAAGCATCAGTGCCTTGGAATAATAGTTATTTGCCTGAAAAAATAAATAAAATGTATATGCATTTTGAAATTGCTTATTATTTTTGTTTTATAAAATCACTAACAACAACATGAGAAATGAATGAAGAATTTTGTTTTAGGGAAACCTGGTTTTATTTCAGTGTAGATGTTTTCTCCAGTAATTGCCCAATTTGCTCATTCATTCAGACAAACATTATTCCAAACAATTGTATTTTGTTGTTTTCTCTGCCATCCCATTTTTTTCCAGTTGTTGATTTACTGCAAAACTTTATTGTTGTTGTTTATTAAATTTCTATACTGCCCTTCATCCAAAGATCACAGGTCGGTTTACAATATAAAACACAAAAATGTGTGACATACTAACAAACAGAAACCATACCCCAGAAACCATACCCCCTACACTTCAAACTTCCACTACAGCTGCAGAATAGTAGTATCAGGTGTGAACTGACTGCAGTACTATTGCTTCACCTGGGGCAAAGGAATAGTCTGTTTGATCCGAGCCATGACTACTACCAATAACAGAACTGTATTTTATACAGTGGTACCTCGGGTTACATACGCTTCAGGTTACAGACTGCTTCCCCAGAAATATTACCTCGGGTTAAGAACTTTGCTTCAGGATGAGAACAGAAATCGTGCAGTGGCGGCAGAAGGCCTCATTAGCTAAAGTGGTGCTTCAGGTTAAGAACAGTTTCAGGTTAAGAACAGACCTCCAGAACGAATTAAGTTCTTAACCCAAGGTACCACTGTATTGCTTTTGATATGTTCTTAAAATTATTTCACATGTGGTCATTTTGTAAAAGGTTTTTGCAGTATATCACTTCAAAACTGCTTAATGTGAAGCAGTTAATAAATTCAAGAAACAAACAAATAATCCATTGGCAGTACTTTTGATGACAAAAAATAATTATTATTCCCTTTCAGCAGTGAACTTTTCTGGACTTCCAGAAAAACACATAAAGGACTATCAGTTTCACCTGCTGCATCTATATCAATGCTGACGTGCACAAATTGCCTTTTTGGAGAAGGAAAGTCAACAGTAACAAGGGTGGTAAGCAGTAGACCGCATGAATGCTGGAAAGGGCTGCCTTTCCTTCTAAAGACTGCCTTCCCCTTTGCATGGGGATTATATAATACATAAACATTACTGAACAAGGTTGGTCCTACAATAATGCTTGCAAAAAATGCATTGCTATCTACAATGCATTCTGATATATTTGGTTATTAAGTTATTCAGTGGATCAAAAATTTGCTCAAATTCTCATGATTTTTCGGAAATTTAAAATGCAGAACAGTAAAGAACATTTCATAAGACTTTCTGATAACTAGCATTCTATTTGTCCCACGCTTTATTACAAAGTTATACATTAGAGTACCATTATCAGATGTCATTTCTAACTTGAAAGACGCTAATTATAGCTACAGAAGTAGAGTATATTCATTTAATATCTGGGAATGGCCTTTTTGTCACAAAAACAGCTAGTTCGGGAATGCAAAATTTTAAGTACTGTGTAATAAAAAGGTAAAGGTACCCCTGACTGTAAGGTCCAGTCGCAAACGACTCTGGAGTTGCACCGCTCATCTCGCTCTATGGGCCAAGGGAGCCAGTGTTTGTCTGCAGACAGCTTCCGGGTCATGTGGCCAGCATGACAAAGCCGCTTCTGGCAAACCAGAGCATCGCACAGAAACGCCATTTACCTTCCCACCGGAGCGGTACCTATTTATCTACTTGCACTTTGACGTGCTTTAGAACTGCTAGGTGGGCAGGAGCTGGGACCAAACAACGGGAGCTCACCCTGTCACAGGGATTTGAACCGCCGACCTTCCGATCAGCAAGCCCTAGGCTCTGTGGTTTAGACCACAGGGCCACCTGCATCCCTAAGTACTGTGTACATAAATCCCAGTGTGTGGTATGAACACATCCAAGCAGATACACGATCCTGCAGCCTTGCATTTGCTAGTTCCTCCTACGCTTGCTGTTGCTATTGGTGTTGTTGACAGATCAGTAGACAGAGCACTGCTGTAGGGCAAGCAACTGCCCAGTACCCCACAGTACTGCCATATGGGGGAAGGGCCTTAGACTCTAGCATAGTTCTCCCTTCTGCCTCCACCCCAAAACTTGTACAGAGTGACCTTTCCAATCAGCCTGGAAAATCAGGATGTGAGTCACCCGCCCTTGAGCTTTAAGACAAAAATGCTTTTAAAGGATTGTGCTAAAAAATCTTCTACTAACTGAAATCATGCAAGCAAACCATTCCAAGGAAAAGAGTTCAGGAAAATTAGCGTGCACAGAATCAAATACAGACCTGTGAAAACTGCCTGTTGTTAAAGTAGATATTTGCTGCATTGAAATATGCCAAAGCATAGCTGGGGTCAATGGAGATAGCTTGCTGATAATCTTTCATGGCACAGTTTAAATATCCCATAAACTGGTTAATGACACCTCGATTAGTAAGCAGCTCTGCACTTGTAGTTACCTGAAATATAGTCAACATAAATAAAATTGTAGGAACAGAACTCATAAAGGACATGGTTGTTAGAAATAGACAGTAATATCTTGATCTTGACAGTTACCTTCAAATTATGATATAAAAGCAGAGATGTTAATATACAGCAGCAGAGCAGATATATGCATGAGAATGAACTTAGAAGTGCAAACTAAACTTGGAAACCCACCCATGCACAGAGCACACTTGTTGAAATGGCTACTAGCCATGACAGGCATAACATTTCCCCATGTCATTGGTGCCTACATGCACCATGACCACTGACTCTTCCCCAGCACTATCTACCATGCTATCTAGGCAACTGACAACATCTGTGCAACCTTCATGCCATGCAGACAATTCACCCTGTGGTCCGCATGCCCACCACATCCACAATCACTGCTTTTTTTCTTAAAAAAATGTTTAGGGGTACTCTCGTTTTCCTACTCATATTGAAATACTGCCCCTCAATGAGGCCAAAACTAGATTCACAAAATGTTTAGGGGTATGCGTACCCCTACAGTGGTACCTCGGGTTACATACGCTTCAGGTTACATACGCTTCAGGTTACACACTCCGCTAACCCAGAAATAGTGCTTCAGGTTAAGAACTTTGCTTCAGGATGAGAACAGAAATCGTGCTCCGGCGGCGCCGCGGCAGCAGGAGGCCCCATTAGCTAAAGTGGTGCTTCAGGTTAAGAACAGTTTCAGGTTAAGAACGGACTTCCGGAACGAATTAAGTACTTAACCTGAGGTGCCACTGTATATCACCCACTGCCGCGATCCATCCATCCACCAGAGAAGTATCTTTGGCACAAGAGGATAGATGTTTCTCCCCCAAGGAATGGATCCCTTCTAAGGGAATGTTTCCCTCTTCCTAAAGGTGGACACTCTCCTTCACCAAGACCCTCAATCTCCCTGGCAACTATGATATCTCTGAAGCCCTCCTCCTCCACTCTCTCTGCCCCTCTTGCCTTTTATAGCATGAAATGGAAATGGGCACTATGAAATGCTGTGGCAGCTGCAGTTAAGAAAGCTAACTTAAGAGAGAGAAGTCAACTCTCTCTCACATGAGCAGTAAAAAGAATGTTGCAGAATTGCCCTGAGAACCTGGGGAAATCGGGACACGCAATCCATCACATACATGTCTTGTATGCCAGCCTGTGAAAGGCTGAGTGCAGATGAGCAACTGTCAAAAATAAGGAGCAAATTATAAGCAAATTGGAGATACTGTGGAAAGACAGAGTTTACATGAAGGGTATAAATTACAAGCAAGGAAGGACACTGCAAATGATCAGTAAAAGATCAAATATTTACCTTGAGTGCAGCATTTGTATCTTGAAAGGCAGCAAAGGTATCGCCCATCTGAAGAGAGACTACAGCCCGCCCATCATAAGCAATGTGACACTTGGGATCAATATAAAGAACTGCTGAAAACTGGGCCCAAGCTTTCTGAAACTTTCCAAGAGCCTACAATAATTTAACATAACCAGTAACAAAATCAGACACAGTAAAAAAAAAACCTCTCACCTCTTTAAAAATGTGCCTACGTCAAACTGGTCCCCTCAAGATATTTTGGACTACATCTTCCATCATCCTGAACCAGTAGATAATCAGTAAAAGAAGTCCAGAAAATGAACCTTGAATTGTCGTCTTATAATCAGATTTTAATGAAGTAAAATGCATGTTACAATTCTAAATAGTTTGATTTTATCCAGTAAAACCAAACCTGTGTTCTCAGGCTCATTATCCATTATATATTGTAGAAAGTGAAAACCTGCAAATGTCATGGGCACAGAAATCCAAATGTCTCAGCACCAGCCTGGAGCTCTGTCAGCCTTTGCTGGCCATCACCTGCAGTGTGATGTAAACATCACCTGCTGAGTGATGCCAACCAGCATCACTCTGTTGGTGCCAACTTCCTTCTGGATAGCGTACTCCAATCTCCCTTTGTGTTGGTCTTGCAACAACCATGTGGGCAAATTCACTCCTGGCAAGATTTCTTCTGCTAGCAGCCAGTGTGGAGCACTGAAAAAAGATGTCCCAACAGAGGAGCTGAGCTACCTTGGTACCCGTTGGATCCCAAACCAGCCCCACTTTACGCTGATGCACAAAACCCCCACTGCTCTGTATTCCCCTGCCTACTGGTTGGGGGCCAGTTTTAGAACTGTTCACCAACTGTGCAATCCTTTGCATGTTACAAGAAAGCATGTGAAGCTGTTTGCAGAAGCTTGTGAAGACTGAAAACACTACTTTTTTTTTTTTTAAATTTTTATTTGGTTTTCTGGTTTTATAAAGACAAAACATACACAAAGAAAAGAAAAAGACAAAAACATGTATAAAATCAACCAATCCCAGTTTCATAAACTTGTTCCCTGACTTCCCCCCACCTCCCCTCGTGCATCCCAGTTTCAAGATTATATCAGCAAGTTGGTGTTTCTCCTCTTAACAATGTTATTCATCTTATTACCTTATTTTATAATAAAAATTAATTTTCCTAAGTTGGACTTAAGTTCTCTTCCATCGATTTTCATCTTATCTTAATTAAGAGTCATATTAACCAAACCTAAAAGTCTTAAGAGTTTTTAAGAGTCTCTTCTTCCCTCCCTCCCATCCCCGGTTTTTGTCCCTTCCCAATAAAGATCCAAATTCGAATTTCTCAGCCTGGGTTCCTCACGTCCGAAGCTTTCAAATCCCTTTCAGTCCCTCTCCGCCTGTCCCGTTGGTAGTCCTTTATGTCAGTCATCAAGTCTGGGAAAAGTTCTTTCACCATCAAAGTGTTTCCTCTTCCCACAAGGGGATTCAAAAGTGACTGCTGAAGAATTTCCACAAAACCTATCTCTTCAAGATCAAAGTCCGAACGGAGGCCCCAAGCATATTTCTTTATTTTAAATTTCTGTATTCCATTTTGTCCCGGGACCTCCTCCTTCTTCTTCTGTATCTTTCGCAGACTTGTAGTAGATATGTTCCCAGCGTTTCCTTGCTTATGTTCCGCAGATGTCAGCTTTTGGTTGTTGCTTCCCAGGATTACTTCTTCTTTTTCTTGTTGTTTAGTCTCTTCCAACTCTGTAGGTATTGTTTCCCATTCAGCTGTGAATTCTTTCTCATTGAGGTCCTCAATACAAAGAGCAGAGTTGCCTGTTCCCAAGGTCATAGTCTCAAGTTGTTTATTCATGGCCAAACTCTGCTCTTGTAAGGTTCCCACCAATTGAAACATCCTTTCGATTTCCACTAGTAACTTTCCTTCCACAGCCATTGTATCCATTGTAGTTTCACAGAATTCCCCCTAGGGGGAATCTGGTTACTTATTAGCCTTTTCACCAACAATCCTTTCACTGATTATTATTACTTTGTTTCCAACGATTTTAGCTCAATTATAACTCGTCTTAGTCAAGAGATGACAATTTTTGCACTTTAAACCGACCGTTTGGCAGCTTTGACAGCTGTCAAACTCCGCAGCTCTTACACAGGCACCAAGGCAGGACGTTCCCGGGCCCGGGAGGGGGGGTTGTTTGAAGCAAAAAGAAGGTTCCCAAAACTCCACTCTCCAGCCCAAAATTTCCTTTAGTTAAATCTTAGAAGTTAATGTCCTTTTTAACTCACCCCACCAGGGGTAGGCTCTCCAGCTTAGCTCTTATGCCGTTGCTTAGGTCGTCTGCAAGAGGGGGGGTGCGGACTTCCTTTTAGCACACACCCCGATCGTCTCCAATTCAAGGTAAAATTTTTATAAAGTCCCAATCCGTCTTACTCACGGGTAATTCTTTCAGTCCAAATTTTCAAGGAAGGAAGTCAGCGCTCTCTGGTCATGGCTCGCGGCTTCACTCCACCGAGGTAGCGATCGACTCTCAGTGCCACGCCACCCCCGTATCCCCTCCGCAGCCTTTAAAAAGGCTCTTTTCGAATCACGGGGGGGCGCTTAAGGCACCCGCCGAGTCTTCAGTCCGCAGGCTTCCGCGCCTGCGGTTTTTAAGGGTCCCCGCGTCGCCGGCGCGGCAAAGACCCATCCTCAGTGGAGCCGGTTCCCTCCGGAACTCGGAGGGAATCCGCCATTTCCAGATCGCGTCAACCCGGAAGTGAAGACTGAAAACACTACTTGCCACGTAGGTATTTGTTGGAAGTATATCGACAAAACTGCCCAAAGGCTGTAAAGCTGGTTCCTAATTTAAATGAGTATTCTTTCAAAACAATGTGTAGAGAGCTGCTTTATGACAAACCACAATAGCAATACAGTGAGCTATATGAAATGCAAAGAAAAGGTAATTTGTAATTTCCTTTTTCATATCTCAGTTAATGCAGAACTATTCCAATCCGTTGACTGCTGTGTTGTGCAAGAGTTTCCCAGCAAAGTTTCATTTTAGGACTAACATGTCAACATTTCCACTAGCTTGTATCCATAATTGTTCTTCCATTTGTGGAAAGGTTTCTTCCATTCACAGGAGGATCTTTGATCCAGCAGAGACCCCAACTGGTGGAAAGCGGGGATGGAGGTATTTTCTCCAATCCTGCCTTCCCACTGCAGCACCCACTTACACCTTTCTGGAGGGCTATGTAGCTCAGAGCATATTTCCAAGGAGCATAGGGGGTGGCAGGAAGAATTAGTGAAAACTGCTTCCCCCCCCCCGCCTTCTGTCAGCAGGAGTACCCAATGAGCCAAGTGCTATGCACAGAATCATAGAATCATAGAGTTGGAAGAGACCACAAGGGCCATCGAGTCCAACCCCCTGCCAAGCAGGAAACACCATCAGAGCACTCCTGACATATGGTTGTCAAGCCTCTGCTTAAAGACCTCCAAAGAAGGAGACTCCACCACACTCCTTGGCAGCAAATTCCACTGTCGAACAGCTCTTACTGTCAGGAAGTTCTTCCTAATGTTTAGGTGGAATCTTCTTTCTTGTAGTTTGGATCCATTGCTCCGGGTCCGCTTCTCTGGAGCAGCAGAAAACAGCCTTTCTCCCTCCTCTATGTGACATCCTTTTATATATTTGAACATGGCTATCATATCACCCCTTAACCTCCTCTTCTCCAGGCTAAACATGCCCAGCTCCCTTAGCCGTTCCTCATAAGGCATCATTTCCAGGCCTTTGACCATTTTGGTTGCCCTCCTCTGGACACGTTCCAGTTTGTCACTGTCCTTCTTGAACTGTGGTGCCCAGAACTGGACACAGTACTCCAGGTGAGGTCTGACCAGAGCAGAATACAGTGGCACTATTACTTCCCTTGATCTAGATGCTATACTCCTATTGATGAGGCCCAGAATTGCATTGGCTTTTTTAGCTGCCGCGTCACACTGTTGGCTCATGTCAAGTTTGTGGTCAACCAAGACTCCTAGATCCTTTTCACATGTACTGCTCTCAAGCCAGGTGTCACCCATCTTGTATTTGTGCCTCTCATTTTTTTTGCCCAAGTGCAATACTTTACATTTCTCCCTGTTAAAATTCATCTTGTTTGTTTTGGCCCAGTTCTCTAATCTGTCAAGGTCGTTTTGAAGTGTGATCCTGTCCTCTGGGGTGTTAGCCACCCCTCCCAGTTTGGTGTCATCTGCAAATTTGATCAGGATGCCCTTGAGTCCATCATCCAAGTCGTTGATAAAGATGTTGAATAAGACCGGGCCCAAGACAGAACCCTGTGGCACCCCACTAGTCACTCTTCTCCAGGATGAAGAGGAACCATTGATGAGCACCCTTTGGGTTCGGTCAGTCAGCCAGTTACAAATCCACTGAGTGGTAGCATAGTCAAGACCGCATTTTACCAGCTTCTTTACAAGAATATCATGGGGCACCTTGTCAAATGCCTTGCTGAAATCAAGGTAGACTACATCCACTGCGTTCCCTTCATCTACCAGGCTTGTAATTCTGTCAAAAAACGAGATCAGGTTAGTCTGACATGACTTATTTTTCAGAAATCCATGCTGACTATTGGTGATCACAGCATTCCTTTCTAGGTGCTCACAGACTGTTTGCTTAATGATCTGCTCCAGAATCTTCCCTGGTATTGATGTCAGACTGACTGGGCGGTAATTATTTGGGTCCTCTCTTTTCCCCTTTTTGAAAATAGGGACAACATTTGCCCTCCTCCAGTCTGCCGGGACTTCGCCTGTTCTCCAGGAATTCTCAAAGATGACTGCCAGTGGTTCTGAAATCACATCTGCCAGTTCTTTTAATACTCTTGGATGCAGTTCATCTGGCCCTGGAGACTTGAATACATCTAGACTAGCCAAGTATTCTTGTACTATCTCCTTAGTTATTCTGGGCTGTGTTTCCTCTGCTGAATCATTTGCTCCAAATTCTTCAGGTCGGGCATTGTTTTCTTTATCGGAGAAGACTGAGGCAAAGAAGGCATTGAGGAGTTCAGCCCTTTCTGTGTCCCCTGTTTGCATTTCACCATCTTCTCCTCTGAGTGACCCCACGGTTTCTTTGTTCTTCCTTTTGCTACGAACATACCCATAAAAGCCTTTTTTGTTGCTTTTAACCTCTCTAGCAAGCCTGAGTTCATTTTGTGCTTTAGCTTTTCTGACTTTGTGTCTACACGTGCTGGCTATTTGTTTGAATTCCTCTTTGGTGGTTTCCCCCCTTCTCCATTTTTTGTACACATCCTTTTTTAATCTTAACTCAGTTAAAAGTTCTTTAGATAGCCACCCTGGCTTCTTTAGGCACCTTCCATGTTTCCGTCTCATTGGTATTGCCTGAAGTTGTGCTTTCACTATCTCCCTCTTAACAAACTCCCAGCCATCTTGAACTCCCTTTCCTTTTAGTATTACTGTCCATGGGATCTCACCCAGCACTTCCCTAAGCTTTATGAAGTCGGCTTTCTTAAAGTCGAGAAATTGAGTCCTAGTATGCTTGGCTGCTCCTTTCCGCTGTATAGTAAACTTCAGAAGAGCATGATCACTCGCGCCTAATGATCCTTCCACTTCTACCCCACTAACCAGGTCATCAACATTGGTTAGGACCAGATCTAAAATGGCTGTTCCTCTTGTTGCTTCTCCCACTTTCTGGACAATGAAGTTGTCTGCAAGGGCAGTGAGGAATCTGTTTGACCTTATGCTCTTGGCTGAGTTTGACATCCAACAAATATCCGGGTAATTGAAGTCCCCCATTACTACTATCTCCCTTCCTTTTGCATGCTTGGCCATCTGTTCCAGGAAGGCATCATCTATGTCCTCCGTTTGGCTTGGGGATCTATAGGAAACTCCCACAATGAGGTCACTGTTATTCTTCTCTCCCTTAATTTTGACCCAAATGCTCTCACTTTGGCTTTGAGGTTCTAAATCTTGGATCTCTTCACAGGTATACACATCCCTCTAGATCCAAGGCTATATGTAGGAGCTCCTCCTCACTTACTGAAATAGTCATGTTTTAATTGCAGTGCCGCTATCTCAGTAGGACTGATCTTTTATAGTAATGTCTCATACCTCTATGACTCTGCCAGTCTCTTTCTCCTTAACCACTTTGCCAGTGCTGTGACAAAGGGTTCTAGTCTGGACTTTAACATGGTTTATTACTAGGGATCATAGTTGTAAATTTCCTGCCTAAAGCCCATATAATCTCTGTCTCTCATTTCCGTGTAAGAAACCAATTTTTCTACTTCCTGATATGACAGGTTATTTATTAGGCAAAAGGGTTTAAGGCATACACACATTTTAAATGGACACATGTCCTGACCTCACACAAAAGGCGATCCATATACAGGGTGGTACACCTCGTGACATTGCCAGCAGGAGAAAGCTGAGAAGTATGGGAAGTTACAGGTTGCACTATGGGAACTATGGAAAACAGCTCCTACTCTGTTTCTTTTCCCTATGAATTTCATAGGAAAATAGTACTGCTTTCTAGTATTGATCTCCAACAGTTAAGAGTGCTGTGTGCGATAGGCACAGGTCTTACATAGATCAGAGGGCATCAATTCTTCTTACTGGTTAAAAATAGATTTAATCTAGGTATGAGAAATGGAAATAACTGACCTACAACCGCACTTATATGTGCTGGTTATTTTATCCTTAAGAAAAGTGTTTAAATCTTTAATGTTCATTATGTATTTTAAGTGAACGCCCTAAATTGTAAGAGGAAGTTTAAGATTGCTGAGTGTAGTCGAATATTATAAAGACACAGTTACCAATACATTACCTGCAAACTATATCCTGCACAAAGTCTGGCCTTTATGCACAAGGGATTCAGATGTATTGCTCTTGCGAAATCTTTCTGGGCTTGTCTGGTACCTTTCTCATGACCATATTCCAGATATGCATTTCCTCGTCCAATATAGCCATCCAGAGAAAAGGGATCTAATTTAATAACCTTTGAAAATGACTGCACAGCTTCTTCGTATTTCTGAAGTCTGAAAATCAATACACATTTGAAATTAAGTGTTTTATTAGCAACATTTGATATTATATACTTTACAATGGACCATAAAGAAGGCTGATAGCCGAAGAATTGATGCTTTTGAATTATGGTGCTGGAGGAGACTCTTGAGAGTCCTATGGACTGCAAGAAGATCAAACCTCTCCATTCTTAAGGAAATCAGCCCTAAGTGCTCACTGGAAGGACAGATCGTGAAGCTGAGGCTCCAATACTTTGGCCACCTTATGAGAAGAGAAGACTCCCTGGAAAAGACCCTGATGTTGGGAAAGATGGAGGGCACAAGGAGAAGGGAACGACAGAGGATGAGATGGTTGGATAGTGTCTTTGAAGCTACCAGCATGAATTTGACCAAATTGCGGGAGGCAGTGGAGGACAGGGGTGCCTGGCGTGCTCTGGTCCATGGGGTCACGAAGAGTCGGACACGACTAAACGACTAAACAACAACAACTTTACAATGAGTGAACAAGCAATGGTGCAGAAACCAGGACCATAAATATAATTTGTAGCCAAAACATCCCTCTCATTTTTGTATAATGCATTCTCACATGGCTTATTTTGGCATGGTTTATAGTATTTATTTCACCATCTATATTCCTTTTTCAAGCATGAGTCACATATTGTGCTGATCATGTGAACTTGTTCAGAAGCAGACCAAAGCAGCATTTTTCTTATTGTAAATACCCTGTTCTGGATACAGGGGCAGATTAGAACTTTGCCTTTAAAATCTGATCTATGTGCTGTTCAGGCTGTTACCACCCACCACCATCTGACTGATCTCCTTCGTCTTCTATGGGAAGCTTCTCTGAGACTTGGTGGGGGAAGCTGAGCATGAAGGACTAAGTTTCCTTATATACTATACAGTCCAACCTGAAATGGAAGGTGCTCCCTGATTGCTGTTCCTTTTAATTAACTAAACTTTCTGTAGAGGTGGGGAGCCCTCTGAGGAATCAAGCTCCAAATCTCCGTCTCCCATTTGCAGCCTATCCAGAGTAGAAGAGGGGTTGAAGAATAGCTGCTCTTTTCACACGCTTTCTGTGCCCTTCCTGAACTGCAGCGCAGACTAGAGCATCCCTACTCTGGTTGGACCAGCCCTGGAGAAAAGGCAATGGTGGGGGAACAGCCTCCAGCAATTTTTGCACTGCTGCCACTGCCCAGCTAGCATGCTAAAAGGATTCCACACTGATCTGGCCCTAGGTGAAAAGCTTGTGGGAAAGAGCAGAGCTACAGGGCCTAAGAACTAAAAGCACACAAGAAATCCATTCAACCTTTTGCTCAGGAAACCACCCATTGCAACTGAAATGTTCCTCAAATTCTGCTTTGCCAACTCTATTGTAAACCATGATATCAAAACATTTATTCTAAATCCCTACTGTTCAGTATTATTACCTATGACAGCAGTGTCCCATATTTTGAAATAGTTTACCGTCTTTTGGCTTACTCAGTGCTACTTCTGCAAAGTCCTAAAAACAGAGAAAGAAAATATTTGTGATGCACCCAGCATTGACGTCACAGGCATCATCCATTAATGCCTATAATGCTAGCACATTGCTCATACCCACAGCTGTGAGTGGAAACCAGCACTTTCTGAGAAAAAATAAAGTTTTTAAATTTTATTTTAAGTATGTATATCCCATCATTAATCCAGAGATCTCAGTGCAGGGAACAGTAAGTCTGCAATAAATAACAATCAACACCAATTAAAACATGGCACATAGACCAGATATAAAGCAACTAACTCAGCATAGAATCAGTCACAGTCCCCAAACATCTTTGTAAATAGCCAGGTTTCAGACTGTTATTAGAATAACATCAGTCCAGACATGCATTCCCATCAAGAACAAGTCATCCACCCAGTTTCCTGATATTGGAAACATCTAACCAGAGCATTTTCAGTCCAGATTCATTTTCCAGTTACTAGACCGCATCTAGCCAACCACAGCAGCCAGACACCAGATGTACAAGAAACTGCACATCTTCAGCTGACTCAGATAACATGAAGAAACACAGCTGGGTGTCATCTGCATATTGATGGCATCCAAATCACCTCAGCCAGCAGCTCCATATAGATGTAGCATTGGGGACAAAATAGAATCCTATGCGACCCCTCAAACCAATTTACATGGGGCTGAGTAGAAGCCACACACTTCCCACCCTCTGGAATCGGCCCTTTGGTTAGGACTGGAACCATCACACCACTGTGCCTAATACCCTCAGTATATAAAGTCATTCCAATAAAATGCAGATCTAGGAGAATCAACAGAGCTGCACTCTTTCACTACAGAAAGAAGTCGTCCATCAGGGAGACCAAAGCCAAACTGGGGCCTAAAGACAGAATGAAGTGAATCTAGATAAACAGCCGTCACCAAGAATATCTGAAGCTGACTGGTCACCACCCTCTTGAGTGCCTAAGCAACTAGGCTATATTCAGAATAGACCTACTGAAAGTAACAGGACATGACTAAGTTAGGTCTGTACCTCTAGTGCATTAGCATGTTGGTTCAAATCTACATAGAGTAAGGCACGGTTGATCAACACTTTCAGAACAATGTCCTTGCTGGGCTCAAGAAGAAGAACAATCCCATAATCTTTCAAAGCCTGTAAAAATACACACAGTAACTGGTAAATAGTGCAAAATATGGAATCTCATTATCCTGTATAAAGACATTCTAATCTCCCCATCTGATTAATTACCTGTTTGCTTCTCAAAGAAATAAAGCAGGGTGGAGAAGTCTGTGGCCCTTCAGATGGTACAGAGTGAGCTACAACTCCAACCCTCCCTGACCATTAGCCATGCGGACTGTGGCTGATGGGAGCCAACAAATTCTGAAGGGTCAGAGGTTCCCCATTCCTGGAATGAAGGCTTGAGAAATGTGGCTTATATTATATAACTTTACTAGGGTGTCTAACAAAGAATTAAATGTACAATTTCCCAAGTTTCAGCAAAGTTCAGAGAAAATAATTAATTTTCAGTATTTTGTTTTATCCTTAGTTTCATGAACTATAGTGACTATAAAGTTTGCTGTTATGAAATACAAGGGAGAAATAGATTAAGAATAAATTTGACATAGCTAAAAGCAATTCATTCTTCCCAACCTGGCGATTTGGGGAAAGAAAAGGACCTTAACCATGGCACTGTAGCTGACAGGAGTGCCTTGAGCGACCCTTGGAAGTCAGTTTATCATCAAAACTACAAGATGATATCATGGACCTTGGAATTTCCCAATTGCACCACCTGCTTAATCACAAGACTATTGATTTTGTACTACCTCTGGTCATCTTAGTAAATCTGTCTTTAACTGCAGTAGTTACATGTGTCTGATGAAGTTTTATTGGTTAAGTAATTTTTATTGGTTTTCACAGAATGTCTGATAAAGTTAAGAAAAAATACAGCAAATTAAGAAAAATATAGCATTTAAGTAAGTTTTTTAAAATGCAGGTTTTTTTCTTTCACTGAATTTGCACATTCAGCAAATCTTTTATGAACCAACCATCAAAGTATTCCTCATAAGGGGTACAAAGGTAGGGAAACAGTTAAGACCAGTGGGTTTTGTGGGGGAATTGCCTATGCAAATTAGCATATTTAGTGTAATTTGTGCATAGGAAATTTTTCAGTGTGCATATTTAGGAAACAAGGTCAAAAATTTTGAAACTTCTAAGCTTGCCTAATATTGTATTTGCAACTGGCATCCATTCATTTAACTAATAAACTTATGAAACAGAAAGGTTTCCATGGAAAAGCAAAACATTGGAAAATTTACATTTTGGAAAAATTTACATCCGACATCACTGGTTAGAATATTCATACACTAATAGGCTTGGGATGTAAATACTGAAAATGCAAGTAAAAGCAACTGGCACTTTTTGCTGTCAAATATTGGCATCATGACAACAACAAAGCTAAAATCAACACAGAAAGGCAGAACAACCACTTGTCATTTGCCATATTAAATGTGCTTTTGCAATCATCTATTCGCATCACTGTGGGTTCTTAAGGTGTGCAAGGGTCTGTCAATGTGATGCTATAAATTCATAAAATCATAGAATAGCCTTCCCCCAACTTGGTGCCCTTCATCTATTAAGTAACTCCCATAATCTCTGAGCGTTGACCATGCTATCTGAGGCTGATGCCATGTTAGGGAAAGCTACCACAAGGATCCAAATGCAGAGGCCGTTACCAACAAAGTAACACAGTGTGAAGCTCCCCTTCACACTGTGAAGAGCTCAATGCAAATGCTACAATGTACACAGAACTCTAGACTGAAGTTAGTAAACACAGTAAGTGAACAAATGTCATAAACTGGAAAAAGGCATGATAATTAAAAATAAAAGCAGGAGATTCAGATTCAGAAATAGAGGTAAAGCAATTGAAAAGTATTATGTGACTGCCCTTTAAAAAAGAAACATACATTTTTGCTGTCCTTCAAGCAGTGGTAAGAAAGTGCTCTATTGTAATATGCCAAAATGCAACCATTGTCTAGGTCTATAGCTTTACTTAAATCTTCAACGGCATGTTTGTAAGTCTGTAGGGAAAAAATGACATGGCATTAGTCATATTACCTAAACTCTTCAAATAATCTGTATAAATGAATATCGCTACACATTCCTCTATATGTAATCCTGTGTTGGAAGGTTTTCTATTGATATCTGTTGAAGTTTATAAAATTATGAAGGTGAAAACAACGGAGAGAATTTTTCTCTTTCATAATACAAGTGGTCATTCAGTGAAGTTACCTGGCAGGAGATTAAGGACAACATTTCTTCACACAAGGGTATAATTAATTTATGGACTTCACCACCATAAGACATAGTGATGGCCAGCAGGTTATAGGGCTTTAAGAATAGTTAGATAGAAAAATAGATATAGGAGGCAGAACAGATCTAACCAAGCCTATTAATCAAGCTTGATATTCAAAGGCAGAATACATATATGTTACCTGATGCTGGAAACAGAGAATGACCATCACCTATTGCCCGCTTGTAGTGGCCTGTGTCTTCTGTTTGAATCAAAGCAGATTTTTGTCTGATCCAGCAATGCAATTCTTTTGGAAAAAGCACCCTGAGATTTTCAGGGATTGGGCAGATGAAAGGGCCAGATGTTTATAAGCTTCACAGGGATCTTTTCTTTTAAAGTATTACCTCACCTATATTAGCTGATACTGTCTTCCTAAAACAGTTACCAATGTTATAGTTATAGTTATTTTTAAAACAAACAAACATTTGTGTCCACCTTCATGACCTGAAAGTGTGCTATTTCTTACAAGTGGCAATTATTATTAAACTATGGGAGGAATTCGGCATTGTACTCATGTGATTGTCATGTCAGAGCAAGCATTTTGGTTTGGCAAAGGAACAATCCCCCTCTCCTCCTGCTCCCCATGCACTGTTTTAGGGATTCCCCCTCCCAAAGAAATGAACCAATTTCAGGGGAACAAGCAGCAGGGGTGGGGACTTGTTGCGCAAGGGGAAACTGGGCTTCTATCGACATTGAATCCCACCCTATATTTCAAAAATATGTTCAGTTAAGGCTGATGACTTCATTAGTGTGTTAATCATAAGTTTTCGATTCTTCTTTAAAATGAGCAGCAGTGTACTCAAAACATCTGTCTTTACCTGCAAAAGGCAACATACTTCATCACAAAAAACATAAGACAACATTTTTACCCTGTTATAAAACTTCAGTGCTCCTCTAGAAAGATAGGCTCTCACGCTTGTAGGCTGAATTCTGAGGGCTTCGTTGCAATTCATTATTCCCTTGGAGAATCTTCCTTTGCATCCATAGTAAGCAGCACGGCTTAAATATGCCTTTACAAAAGCATTACAGGGGGGGAAACAAACACATTTTAGAAGGAAACAAACACCAACAGGCCCAGTACCAGACATTATGCTGCCTGAGATGGCTAGTAATTCTGCTGCTGCTCAGTCTTCTTTATGGTGCTAGTAAAGCAAACATCCTCCTCTTTCACCTTGCCATCTCCTCATTCCTGCTCCTCCTGTTACCTCACTTTATTTGTTTCTCTGTTTTCTTTTCCTAGAAGTTTTTCCACTCACCTAGCTCTGAGAAAGAGCCAAGGGGGGATCTTCAGAGTGAAGTCCTCTGGGTGAGGTGGCCTGGGTTACAAATAACCTTTAAGATTTCTAAATTTCAAACAGCATTTCGGGTTCCAGTGGCAAACTATAGCAGCAGTTTAGGCAACCTTCTGGTTACCTTGTCCAGAAGGCCTCACTCTGCAGAAGGACCCCCTTTTGCATGAGTACCTGGCAAGAGATGTTAAATAGGAATGTAACAGAGGCCTCTAGAAAACTGCTTGCATGCTAATGAATGCTTCTTACTATATAGACACAGAATGCCTGCACAGAGATGTATGTGTTTGGATAGGTAGGGGTGTGGCTAAATGAGCAGTCCTGAAAATTCAGCACACACCATTGGCCCTCGTATACCACGAAGTAAATTTAATGAAGAGGAACTAGAATAAACTTTTCCAGGGATTTGCAATCTACTATTTTTATTGCTCAGGGACGCGGGTGGCGCTGTGGGTTAAACCACAGAGCCTAGGACTTGCCGATCAGAAGGTCGGCGGTTCAAATCCCCACGACGGGGTGAGCTCCCGTTGCTCAGTCCCTGCTCCTGCCAACCTAGCAGTTCAAAAGCACGTCAAAGTGCAAATAGATAAATAAGTACCACTCCGGCGGGAAGGTAAATGGCGTTTCTGTGTGCTGCTCTGGTTCGCCAGAAGCGGCTTAGTCATGCTGGCCACATGACCCGGAAGCTGTACGCCGGCTCCCTTGGCCAATAAAGCGAGATGAGCGCCGCAACCCCAGAGTTGGCCACGACTAGACCTAATGGTCAGGGGTCCCTTTACCTTATTTTTATTGCTAAATGTAGAACATTGAGATAAGATAAGCTCTATTTCAGTATCTCCAAAAATCAAATTTTCAGCATTACCTGAAAATGGTCTGGTTGAACAGCAAGTGTTTTGTTAAAATCTAATATGCACTTAGGTTGATGGAGCTGCATTCTGCAAAGCCCTCGCTGATAGTATGCATCTGCATAACGTGGATATAGCTTGACAGCAGAAGTAAAAGCGTCACAGGCCTAAAAATACAATAAAGCTAGTATTACTAAATATTGCCCTTTGTCTAGACTATATTGTCAAGAATATAAAACGTTTACAGCTTTAGGACTTTGTACTGCATGAAATTAGGCAAATGATACCAGTTATGGAGGGATAAATTCCAATGTTTAAATAGGCCTCACATTCTGAAAATAGGTTTTAACACTCTTCAAGAGGCCCAGACAGTATCTGTTGTTATATGAGGTAGTAAATAGTACCATTTTTTAGATATTACCAAATTGGCCACATATTAACAAAACAGAAGTTTAATGTCTTATTAAGACTTCTAATTGTTATTATCTATCCCAGACAAGACCATTTACTGCCTAATTTTTTCATATTGACCCAGTTTGACTATGCTGTAACTGTGATGCTTAGATTAGTTTTTAGTTGCTGGTTTGCTAATGGTGCTATACATATTGTTATTGTTTTACTGATGATTTGGTTATTTATATAATATGACTTATGTCATACCTGGGATGTATTATTATGTTATTGTTATTTATTGTCTGTGAGCCTCTTTCAGATTCGTTTTAATGGAAAGAGGAATAGAAAATTAATCAAAAATAGATTTGATTAATTAATCAAATCTATCCAATTTGGCCATTTTGTTTACTGCACTTAATTGAACAAGAATATTTGGCAGAAATGACTGGCAGAATCCGAGACCTGGGAGAAGAAGTAGTGGAAGAGGATTGGAAGAAATTTAAGGACTATTTACAAAAACACTGTAAATTGTATGAGTGCTAGGAAGGATGCAAGATTGAAAATAACATGGCACCAGCAAACTAGCGGAAAGGAACATGAGAATAGGTGAGACTAGAGAAGAAGATAAATTTTGGAGTAATGTTATGTCTAAATTAAGTATTTAAGTTTTTGATAAAAGTATTCAAAATTAGAGACAGAATATTGGAAGAATATAAAATAAGAGCTGAAACAAGGTGATAATTTGCTGTTTAAAATTTTACAAACTAGGAACGCAGGAACGAGAGATGTGAGGAAGTGCAAAAAGTGAAGAAAATATGGTTATGTTTTTTGTATTATGTGTTAACTTTTTCTTTTTTATGTCTTTCTTTGTTTACTGTATCTTGGTGATGGGTTTATATGTGCTGGGTGATTATAATGTCTAAAATTTTCAATAAATATTTTATATAAAAAAAAGAATATTATCAGCTGTTTGGACATATAAAGTATTTTAATTCCAATTTAAGGAAATCACTCAACAAACCTTCTTGTTACGGTATGAGGTGAGTGGCCACAAAGAGGGTGGGTGGCTTACTCTTGACAAGCCCTCTTGATCAAAATATATGCTCTATATTTTTTAGAGAAGTTAGTTAAATTGATCAAAGTGAACCATGTCCTGCTGTACCCAGCGCAGGCTTTCACAAGGGGCATAGTAGAAGTGATCAGTATTTTGTTTTGAACTCTCTTATTCATATAAAACATTTAAAGTTAATTTTCTATAGTATATCAAGGGGGCAGGGGGACATAACATACTGAGGAAACACAGACACTTAACTAAATTCTTCAGCACTCATCCCAACAATTTTGCTATGAAAATGCAATGCCAATGAAAAAGAAGGAGGTGATGGTTCAAATACCAGAATTTACTCTCATAGAGACAGTAAGGTTTTGCCCTCCCATTCTGGCTCCTGTTCAGCCACTGCCACCTTCAGCTCAGACATCTCCTGTGGGTTGTTAATGCCCTCTTCAGTCCCCAATAAGGCTCTCTGCTCTGCAGGATGGATAGGAAATGGGAGAACCTCCATCCCCAGTTCCTATTATTCACACACCCCTTCTGCTTCTGCCTCGTCCTCATCAGTCTGAACTTGCCAATCCATGTCTGATCCCAATGGAACCATGGGGTTCAAGACAGAAAATCACTGCAGGGTATTATTAATCATGGCAAGTCACAGAGGGGAATTAATTAAAATAATCAATTATGACAATCACAAAGGGGAATGAATCGTAGACAATTATTGAAGAAATTTGAAGGAATTTAAGAACCAACTGAACGCAGAATCAATTAATATCAATCACACAAACTAGCAAAAGGAATAAAAAAAATGTAGACAACCACATTATTAATTAAGCTTGTGACACTGGAACAGCCAAGGGAAGATTCCACTTGTCACAAAGATTAGACACACAAAACTAGCTACAGAGACAGAAAAATACAGAGAAATAATTGAGAGAATGAATAAAAGGATCCTGAGCACACAGAGCAGAAAACAGAGAAAAGTACAAACCTGAATAACAAAGAAATGCAGAAAGAATTGCTAAGCTATTGCCAGAAACAAAAGGCAGGAACTTCACTGGGGTTTCTTCTGGGAACAGGCTGCTTAGAAGTTCCTGAAACACAACTGCATTCCTGTCTTCAAGCATTAGAAGTTCAAGCGTGCCAGCATGGGAGAAGAACAGTGGCAAATTGATAATCCTGTAATCCTAAACATTTGTTGCTTTACCAGATGATGTACTATTGTTATTAATTTATTTATTATAAAAATGAATCCCCTACCTATACATATACTAAGCTGATAATAGCTAAAAACATTATTGCAATAGAAGTATAATTGCAACCCATCAATAGCTTGGCTGGTTGATTAAATATATTCCAGGAATTCAACATGGCGCTAAGGAAAATGATCTTCCCACTCCTACCCTCACACATTGTTCTGGGAGATCTGCTGACCCTCCAAAACAGATCTGAGGGAGGTGCACAGGGGAGAGGAGAGGAAGGAAAGCCCTGTTGTGCCAAAGGGAAGTCCTTGCATTGGCTTCTCCTCGCAGAACGGGGTAGCTAAATCTTGCCCTTAGTCTCTGTGCCTAGGGTGACACTATCCTAAGAGGTGTGACTGAAGTGCTACTGCCCAATTGGAATAGCCCTGAGGTACCAGCAGGAGTCTGACCAAACTGCGGGAGGCGTTGAAAGACAGGAGTGCCTGGCGTGCTCTGGTCCATGGGGTCACAAAGCATCGGACACGACTAAACAACAAAACAACAACAATCCCCTTCCCTTCAAATTACTTTGTCCGACATGCCTAAGCAAAATTTAACACAGTTTTGGACTCTCAACAAACCATTGAAGAGTATCCCAACGGTCAAGTCTTTAACTCATTTCAACTCCACAATCAAAACTTTTGTGTACAATGTTTAAAACCAAAATCCCATAACACTTAAGAAATATGTACCTCTAATAAGGAGACTTGCTCCATATAGCACTGGCCCATAAAAAAATATATTTCTGCAGCTTCAAATGTATTAGGTGTAGATCTTGAAGCGGCAGTATCCATCAGCCGCTTCAATGCTTGTTTAAAACTGGCTACAGCATCCTGTAATAAAAAGTAAGTGTAAAATATAGTTAACTGATGTTTGCAATCCCAGTCTTGAGAGCGATCGTGCTGCTCAGTTTGCTCAATGGTGAATCAGTCACCCTTTTGAATAACAAAGTGGCCTCTATCTTTTTTTCACTGCAGATATATTTACTTCATTTTTTAAAAAAAACCAAAGTAAATACCCAACCCTATAGATTCTACACATATGTTTACAATTCTATGCACACTTACTTGGGAGTAAGTTCTATTGAAATCATTAGTTACTTCTGAGTAGACATGCATAGGTTTGCTACATTCTTACATACTGTACGTACTGCAGCAAAGAAGACCATGTAATACAGCTCTTTTTTTGGCACCAGGGAAAGAGGATCTAAGGTTATCCCAGTAATGAAAGCTGGACAGAAATACAAACTTAATGAGTTGAATACATAGCCAGAAAGACTGATTTAGTTGCAGCCAATTGACATGTGTCATGGACTAGGCTGTCCAGTTAAAAGAAACAATCCATTTTTACTTCGGCACAGCAAGTAATGATCTAAAACTTGGCCTGCTTTCATCTGGCACCTTGAATCCAAAGAGTAATTGCCATTATTTTTCTACATATTTATCAAGTAGGCCCTGGTAAATGTAATCTTCCCAAGTACTGGTGACACCTGAAGTAGCACATGGGAAGATTCCATTTTGATGGTTTACTTTGGCTTCACAGAACACCAGATATCAGAGAAGCATGGCTTGCTGCCATGGCCAGAGTTAGAGAGGCATCATTAACCTCCAAATGGGGTGGAAGGGACGCAGGTGGCGCTGTGGGTTAAACCACAGAGCCTAGGGCTTGCCAATCAGAAGGTCGGCGGTTCGAATCCCCATGATGGAGTGAGCTCCCATTCCTTGGTCCCTGCTCCTGCCAACCTAGCAGTTCAAAAGCACGTCAAAGTGCAAGTAGATAAATAGGTACTGCTCCGGTGGGAAGGTAAACGGCGTTTCCGTGCGCTGCTCTGGTTTGCCAGAAGCGGCTTAGTCATGCTGGCCACATGACCCGGAAGCTGTCTGCGGACAAACACCGGCTCCCTCGGCCGGTAAAGCAAGATGAGCACCGCAACCCCAGAGTCATCCGTGACTGGACCTAACGGTCAGGGGTCCCTTTACCTTTACCTTTAGGGTGGAAGAGGGTGTGGGGAAGGCTAGGGGAGATGAGGATAAAAAGGAGAAATTTTCTCTAGTTCAGATTAAAGTCCAAGACAGATAAAAATATAGGGATCATACACAGAGGCCAGTGAGATTAAGTGAGCTCTTGACAAATTAACTATTGAGTGGCAAAGACAGCAGAAAAGAATAGACAACCAGCAGGATGCTGTGTCCCAGCAGAAAACAGGAAGGAGGATAGAGATTTAATAAGAAATGAAATAGTCACCAGAACCCATGCAGAATTCTATCAGCCTCACATATTTTCCCTATAGCTTTCAAAAATAGTTCCCTTCAAAACCGCAGAAATACAAGAGCATATCTTTAACCTTATATTTTTTGGCTTTCATTTGGATTTTTCCAAGTAGAACAAACATGGCACAATCAGGTTGGTTTTCGGAGGCTGCAAGCGCACACACAATGGCCTTGTTGTGATTCTGACAAAATGATTGAACAAGTGCTTCTTGAACAAGCGAACATTCAAGGGGTCCTGTAAAATATTGAAGGACAACTTCATTCTGGGCCAACCTATTTATTATTGTGCATTTCAATGTATAAATACAGATATCATAGGAGACAGGCAAGCTTCATAGCCAATGTTAATATAAATGTTCAGAATGCCAAAGACTCGTATTAAACTTCTGTTAAAGCACTCGGCATTCAGAGAATACCAGAGTGATGTACAGAAACCAAATATAAAGCATAATACAGCAGTGGTTCCCAATTAGCTTATTACTAGTTCTGCATGCTCAACGAGACTTTGGGCTTATATTTCTTAGACAGCCATCATACCATTTTATGCCAACAGGGCTTTGCAGCTACTTAATTTTCAATTTTTATTTAGCTAGCCACCTTAACAATTATCTGTATTTTTGTCGTTTTAATGGTGCATTCATTGTGTTTTAACATTGTGCACCGTCCTGATATTTTGTGATATGGTGGTATAAAAATACTTTTATTTTAAAAAATGTCAAACCATTTTGAACTTGAGGGGACTCCCCCCCAACCAAAAACCCACAACTGTGATAGGGTATGAGGGTTTGCTGTTCAAGAAAAGTTCCAAGTGCTCCTGGGCATGCTTCAAGTAATCCTTTGGACCTGGGCCATAGCTTCACAGTGCACAGAAAGGTAAAACATAAACAGACAGTACCTTGACCCATTTCTGCAACTTGGTGTATGCAGAAACTTGCAAGATCATAATTCTGCATCTCTAGTAAATACTGTCCTCTGTAAATGAAGTATTTTGACATACATTAATTGCTTGGAATTTCTATGGAACTATTTATTTGTTTTCAAATAGCAATAGAATAACAACAAAGGTTTAAATATTTGAGTAAATAAAATTACAGAATATTATCAGCTCTTCATTGGCTATACATTCAGCAACCTTTTTTAAAAAAAATATTTATACTTTTCAGATATATACAATTCATTGTTATGAAAAAGGAGCAATGCAGCAGCGAGCTCCAGCTGGCTGGAAAGCCAGACAGGATGTTGATGTTTGGGACTGTACCGTGGGAACAAAGGGACAGTCTATTCACTGTACTGAGCACCGGATGTTAGCTCAGAGTGTCATCTGACCTGTACTGGAAGTACAGGGGAGGGTTTTCTCTCTCTGCAGTTGGTGTTAAGAGAGTGCAGACATGTTTCTCTGTACTGCTGGAAAAGACAGAAAGAAAGGCATGTAAATACATTTCTGTCTGTCTCTTTCCCCTCCCTGGGGATGGCAGGGAAGAGGGAAGGAGTGGTGTGTTCTTCTCACATTAGAGGAGGATCGCCGATAGAGATCTCGCCTGATCTTGCCAGGAGTCGCAGACGGGGAGGTCAACAAGGAATTCAAGCCGGGTGCCTGGAGAGTGGCAAATTCCTCTGACAAGGCTTGATTCCGACATTCATTTCGACATTTTAAAACTTGACTTCCTTCCCCCTTTTTGTGCGGTTCCTTAAATTTATTTTTACTATCTTCTGCATATCCAAATTAACTTAACGTGCTCATTTATTTATCTTCTTTACATATATACTCTTATATAGCTTCAGGTTATTACAATAATCCTGCCAGTGTTTTTATCTGTTTACAATTTACGTGTAAATATTCAATAAACCATTTCCATTCTTTTATAAAAAGTTTTTTATATTGAGTTCTTATTCCTGCAATAAGTTTTGCCATTTCTGCATATTCCATAAGTTTTTGTATCCATTCTTCCTTTGCTGGGACTTCTTTTTCCCATTTTTGGGCAAGTAACATTCTTGCCACTGTAGTCGCGTACAAAAATAAATTTCTATACAATTTAGGTAGTTCTATCCCTATGATTCCCAGAAGAAAGGCTTCTGGGTTTTTCCACAAACGTTATTTTAAACATCCTTTTCATTTCATTATATATCATTTCCCAGTAAGCCTTAACCTTACTACAAGACCACCACATATTAAAAAAAGAACACCATTCAGCAACCTTTGCATCATCCCTAATAAAATACCTAAAATATATCTACTAGGAATAAAATGTGCTAATTCACAATATTTATACCCACTCTCTATCTTTATTGACCCTCAGGGCAAGTTACATAAATAAAATAAATATTAAAATATCCAAAAGAAGCAGATAAAAGTACAAATCAATGGACCAAACATATGTAACATAACAGCCTGGAAAAATAGCTCTTGAGCTGATACTAGAAGTAAAATATTCCATCAGATTCTGACAATCACGCTAATTTGTTTTTAATTTAGGCAAATTTCATTTAGTCAAATAACGCCCTAAGAAATTCTATTTATTTATTTATTCAGTTATGCACTGAAGAATCTCAACTATTAAGCCCACTTTAATTAGAGTAGCATTCTTGATGAAAGAATAATATTCATCCAGCACTAAAAGACCTAAAAACTAAATTTAAAAGGATACAAACTACTTTGGTAGACCACACATCTGAAACCATAGTGAGGACCTATGAAGCAGCTGAGTTGTATGCTGCCTTCAAATATGAGTCAATGAAGCCTGAACTTCAGGGCTAATGGAGGGAAGTTGAGTTCAGTCCTCCATCACCTTCAGAGCTGAAGCCATTGCAGAAGGTTCTCTTGGGCTGACAGAATGGAATGCAGTGCTCCAGCTTCCATGATGACTTCACAGTCAAAGCAAGGAATTTACAAGGACCAAGTCCTAGCCCAAGGATAGCCAATGTGGTGTCCTCAAAATGTTACAGGCCTACAACTCCATGCTGGCTAGGGTTCATAGGGGTTGGGCTCCAACAGCATCTGGAGGGCAACACAGTGGCTACCAGGCCAGTTAAGGGTTAGCACCTGCACTCTGCTACCAATGTTATTTCTTAGCAACATGAAGGCAGCACAGTATATATGTGCAACCCTCAACCTACATCAGTGTAATTTCTGTGATTCTTCAACAAAGGTTGATATTCACCTAGTATACCAAGCCACCACTAGTAACCTTCAGTGTCCCTAAACAGACACCAAGAGTCAAACTAGACATGGCATTAATGTATAAATGCATTTATACAGGTATGAATACACATTTATTCATTGATTCATTTATACATACATACATACATACATACATACATGGTATCCCAACCACATTCCTGGTAATGACCCAGACTAGTTCACTCAAGGAAGGAAACAGCAAGTTTGGGAGGTAATTTTTCCCAGAGTGTGGTGTTGGGGGAAATGATTAAGAATACTCCCTCAAAACTGTTTTTTTAAGTTTAAAAAAGAAACATTAAATGTACTAGCACATTTAACATCACGTCAAAGGCTTACATGATACATACAGTGATAATACAGGTGGACAATAAAAGTAGGAAAGAAAGAAACAAAATGAGAAAAGGAGCTGATAACAATCTTACCTTGTTAAGCATAAGTGGGGTGAGTTGGGCTGGAGATGAATGGCTCTGTTTATATCTTTAATTGCACTCTTTAGATCATGAACCTGTTATGTTAAAACAGACAAACATCCATTATTCTTTGTCTCAGGATACCACCATCTCATTCAATGTGTTCTCCTATACAAGGACCACCTCCTCCTTTTTAAAACATTTTTAATCCATATCTTTTAACAGTAAATAAACTTCAATTGATTGTTAAGAAACTTCCACAGCTTTCATTTCTGCCTTGACCAGAAGGAAGGGCCATAATCCATCATACCGTCCCTGCTAGCCGAAGGAAATCCTTTTATGTAAATAATAGGGCATGTCCAGATTTCCAAATCCAAATTTCTCCAGTTTTTTAGTACCTTGGTATAACTGGCCAACATTTACTAACATACAGAATTCATTCAGAAATTATGGACCTATACATTAATTTGGGTTTTCTGAAGAGGACAGTTATATTTTTTTAAAAAGCTTCTCCTGTGATACTAGGAGTTAGACTCCAAACTTTTTGTCCAGAGGAGAAGAGGTTCTCCCCTTTGTTCCCCCCCAAAATATATATATATATATATATATATATATATATATATATATGGGGAATTTTTTAAAAAAATTAAGCAAGTGGGAAGTTTTAACTAGCGCATGTATCAAGGAAAAAACAAAGCCAGAATGTTCAACACCGTAGACCCTAAATACTCTTCATTAGTTTTTAGAACTAAATTAAGCCTTCAGAGAGATGGTTCTGACTAAGAAAACACCAGGACTTCTGAGGTTTGCACTGAGAAAGTCTTTGCATTTCTTGCACATTGTCCCAGTATTGTTTTATATGCAAGCCTTAAAGCAGCTAGTTACCTATTGAGCACCTATCACACAAATTCTACAGCATAGGTAAAGAATAGATAGATACCCTTTGATGTGCCTGGGCTCTGCACATGTATGGTCTAATATCTAATGGATCCAGCTGAATGGCTTGAGTGAACTGTCGAATAGATTCAAAATAGCGGTCCATATATAACATCAAAATCAGTCCAATATTTATGTAAGCTACGGAAAGGCTCCTGAAAATAGAGACAGAATGCTATGAGCGTTACATTTTTCAACATGTTTGTACATTATGCTACATTGAATTTCGTATTATTTGTTGAATTAAAGCCAGTCTGCTTTCCAGTAAGAAAAACATGTTTCCATCCTAGACCTGTACACGCTACATATCAAAAGCAAGAGTAATGTTTTGAGTTCCCTCCTGCTATCTCCATGCTGCTTCTTATAGTGAGGGCAGAAGCACAGCAGAGTGTCAAGGAGAGGAATACACATTTCTTTTCCACAGCATGGCATTCCTACAACCTGCTTTGTAGGCAACCTGGGCACTAAGAGCGTAATTTACCTCAGCACAACAGAACTTCTGCTTTCTGGCCATCCACAAAGTGGGATTTATCAGTGACCTACACTGACTTGTTAGCTAAACAATTAATTACCGTATTTTTCGCACCATAGGACGCACTTTTTCCCCTCCAAAAATGAAGGGGAAATGTGTGTGCGTCCTATGGTGCGAATGCAGGCTTTCGCTGAAGCCTGGAGAGTGAGAGGGTCGGTGCGCACCGACCCCTCACGCTCTCCAGGCTTCGCACACCTCTCCGCAAGCAGCGGGAGCCCAGCGCTGGGCTCCCGCTGCTTGCGGAGACTTGCCTGCATGCCGAAGCCTGCGCGCACCTGGGGGGAAATAATTTTTTCCCCCTTTATTTGCCCCCCAAAAAAACTGGGTGCGCCCTATGGTCCGGTGCGCCCTATGGTGCGAAAAATACGGTAAACAATTAATGAAAATAATGTGCCATTCTGATACAGATGCCACATTAGCATCAGAATCTATATTAGATTCATTCCCAAGCTCTACTAGTTATGTTTCCTTGGGGAAAGGTGGGGAGCAAGGAATACAAGGTATCGGAAGTGTAGCTTCTTGGGTAATACAGCCAAGCAATAGGAGACTACCTGGTCTGAGTAGTTTGATGGTTAATACCTTCCCCCTTCAGCAAAATGGTTCCATTATCCCTTAAGGTGGTGATAGTGGAGCTGTTGTTTTTTAAAACATTAATTGGATCTGACTAATTTGGGAAGCAGGTATGTATTACTCTATACTCAAACAATATAAAAGTTAGAACCTGTATAGAGTATTTTGCTTATGATGGCCCTCTCTGTAGGTCAGGAACTGGCATTTCTGCACCTCCATATGCAGGGCACTGGTTCGTATGTCATGCCAAGCTAACACATGGTTTACTGCAAATACATAAATACGCAGGCTCTAAAAAATTAAAATGGCCCCCAGAGGGTTAGCTTTAGGTCAGGGTGGCCCTTGACCTGAAAAACATTAGCTGGTTTTAATGTGTTTTGTCAATTGATTTTATTTGATCAGCAGGCTTGAATGCCATAATAATAATAATAATAATGATACAGCAAGCAACAAACAAATATATATATATATAGCATACCTGTCCAAGGAGAGTGCACTTTCAAAATCACAGATTGCCAGTAACCACTGTTTCAGTTCTGAATACAAGATCCCACGGTGAAGAAAAGCAGCAAGATTCTCAAACTTGTGATTGAGAAGAACTGGGGAGGGATGGGGAAATATATATAGTTGTTTCTATATGCCCTTCATGAAATATAGCCTTTGAAATAATTATCTATTATCTCAGTGTGCACTATGACCTTCATCCTTTATTTAATTCCTTTCCATTCTGGTTGCTCTTCACTGCTCTGGCACAAATCACACCCTCCTTATAGAACTGCAGGGCTTGTTTTAAAATATCACCGAATGTGCATGACTGCACCTCTATGGTTGCTTCAAAAGATTTAATGACCTTGAAATATCTATGGGAGCTTGTGAAAAAGTTGTATGGTTGTATCAGATCACCAAACAACTCTTGCAACCCCTTTCCAAAGAAATTGAGGTGTTCACTGTGAATAGGAGCGAACTTTTTTTCAAGGAGGGAAGATACTCTATTAATGGAGGGATAGGAGAAAGGCCTTCTGATCATAAAGGAGGGGGGCAGGACAATGGGAACATTGAAAAATTTGCCCAAACAAATACGAGAGCCAGTCATTGGCTACAGCCTACTTCCTGGGCTAAATATTATTATTTATTAAATTTGTATACCACCCTTTGTCCAAAGATGCCATGGCAGGTCACAACAGAAAAATAAAAGATACCAAATACATAATAAAACAAAAACAAACCAATAACCCCTCACCTACAAAAACATTTTAAAAGCCACAGAATGTTAATCAGTTGAAGAGAAACGTTTTTGCCTGGTGCCTAAAGATATGCAATGAAGGCGCCAGGCAAGCCTCCCTGGGGAGAGCATTCTACAAGCACCGCAGAAAGGGCCTGTTCTCATGTTGCCACCCTTCAGACCGCTTGTGGAAGAGACACATGAAGAAGGGCCTCAGATGATGATTGCAGGGTCCATGTCAGTTCATTTTACATATCTATATATAGATACACATAAAAATATAGGTACAGTGGTACCTTGGTTCTCAAACGCCTTAATACTCAAACAACTTGGAACCCAAACACTGCAAACGTGGAAGTAAGTGTTCCGGTTTGCGAACTTTTTCCAGAAGCCAAACGTGCTCCAATTTGAGTGCCACACTTCTGTTTTGAGTGTTACGCTGAGGTCTGTCTGTTTTTGCTATTTATTTTGCATTTTTGTGGCTTTTTGTTTTCTTTTTGTGACTGTGTGGAGCCCAGTTCAGCTACTGATTGATTGTGTGACTGCAGTACATTGTTTATTGCTTTCATTTTATGGATCAATAGATAGTAAAATTCATGTTAAAGTGCTGTTTTAGGGGTTGTTTTTAAAAGTCTGGAACGGATTAATCCATTTTGCATTACTTTCTATGGGAAAGCGCGCCTTGGTTTGGGAATGCTTTGGTTTTGGAATGGACTTCCAGAACGGATTAAGTTTGAGAACCAAGGTACCACTCACTGTATACATATACATATACATATGCTGGAAGGACTTTCCAGTGTTTAAAGGAAACATCCTCAACATATAGATGGAAAATTTGTAAATACTTTTAATTCTATTAATGTTTAATTAAAAAAAAATTCTATGTTTTTAGCAAGTCCTATTTTTAGCTGTAAGCCACCTTGAGTCCCATTAGGGAGAAAGGCAGGAGATATAGATATTTGATATACTTAAAAAGAAAAATGTATAAATTCACACTTTCAAACTTAAAAAGTCCCCCATCTATCATAAAAACAGTGTATACTATACCAGAAACACTCAAGTCCTGCAGGGCTTGTTTTGGATCCAGCGTTCGCAAAAGACAACCTCTGTGGTAGTATGCAATCCAATCATTAGGATTCAAGTGAATTGCAACAGCGAAATCTTCAGCTGCATTTTTATACTGCTCTAGTTTAATATATATTCTCCCTCGATAGGTTCTAGAAATCAAACCAATATTTTCCTCATCATAGTAGCTTTACAATATTCTGCATTTATATAAATTCTGTCTGAATGCAAAACTTGTTGTCCCAATGTGATTTAAACAAGTCAAGGCTGTGATCCTAAGTATGCTTACATGGAAGCAAGTTCCATTCATAACAGTGGGAATTGCCTTAAAGTAACTGTGCTTAGAATTGAAATGCAAGAGGCGAGGAAAGATAATGGGCAGCTTAAAAAACATAAACATCACATTTGACAAAGCATATTGATCAGGATCTCAAAACAAAAGGTGTATTGTGTTAACAATGCTATATAAATTAACATATTCCATAGACTACCATCCTGAACCTTAACATTCTGATGCAAAAAAGAGTTAAATGAAGGTTCAAGAGGCATATATACCAATAGCAAAGATAGCTCTGCACAACACAATTGACCCACCACCACAGACAGATTTCATAAGACATTGGCACTCCTTGTCTCATCAGATCCAGTCTCAGTCTCTCTCTCTCTCTCTCTCTCTCTCCAACAGATAGACACAAGTAACACAATGGCACTCATCACTCTCATATATTTATACCCAGAAAGTAGGGCACAGATACTTTCACTCAATGTACAAGAGGTCACAGGCAGACACTGAATGCAGGGCATAATCATTTTCTCAGACACTGTTATAAGGGATTTAGAAGTCAACTATAATTGCTTAAATTCATATATAATTTGCAGTTACCTTGCCTCTGCAATGCTTGGATCCTGTTTAATCACATTTGTAAAATCATTAATAGCTATATTCCATATAGATTTATTAAAGTAATGTATTCCATGCTTCATAAGTGCATCAGTTCTTTTGGGATTATAGAAAAGGCACTAGATTGAAATAAAATACATGCAATTGTTACCCTTGCTTTTGTATTCATAATGTCACACCAAGGCAATCATTCAATCAACACAAGCATGTCTTCTTGCCAGATGAAATTATCTCCCCTCTCATCTTTCTGTGTGCTCTTCTAGGTGTTCTCCTGACTCCCCCCCCCCCCGAGCTGATTTGGGTGGGCAGGGGAGATAAGGAAAGTCCCATTGCGCTGGTTGCTGCTAGTGCATCTATTTAGTTGAATGGAGTCCAGTGTACTGACTTTGCCCTGCCAAAGCTAGGTTGCTTAACCCTTTCCTTCCCTGCCACTGATCCAGTCAAAAAATATTCCACCACTGTTATGTACTGAGTTGAATAGGATCCAAACTGCAGCAGTCTGATTGGTCCTAGAACAATAGGATCCAAAATACAGCAGTCTGATTGGTCCTAGAACAATGCAGCAGTATGATTGGTTGGCAGGAACCACCCAATCATTCTCCAGATAGAAGTGAATCCACAACCTGATTGGCTTACAGTAGAATTCCGGAATTAGCCAATCATGTGCAGCCCATTGTGTAAATAATGTATATAAAGCAGATACTTTGAGGGGACTCGCATTCATTCCTCCTCACCACTATGAGCTGAATAAAGAGCATGAAATCACTTTGCGACTCTGAATATATTTCAACCACTATGTCCAGCTTGGGGAGGAAAGGTTACCTCTTTTTTCTTTCTCAGAGAGAGATAAGAAGCTGGGAGCAATGTTAAGTGGATAAACAGCAAGTGATTAAATCATACTAAATCATACTCAGAATGGGAGCTGTATCTATAATGTCACACCCATTACCATAAATTGATTTAAGTCAAGACTAATTTAAGCCCATTGATTTCAGTGCATCTACTCTGAGCATGACTACTATAAGTCAGACAGTCCCATGAAGAGAAAGAACAAAGCAGCCCACCCTGCCAAACTTGTTTGCTTCCAAAGGGTTGTGCTCCTTGCTACTAGATTTACTGCCAAATAAGTGACTTCTGGAGGGATGGCGTTTTTGTGCTGGCACCCTGGTTATGAAATGCCTTCCCAACAGAGTTGGTACTTTTCATTTTTCACAGTCTTTTCAATCCATATTTTGTCAATTGTGATTTATCTCTTTTTTATTATTGGATTGTGTCTAATAAAGTTCTACTCAGAGTAGTTCAACTGAAATTAATGCACCTAAATTAGCCATGCCCATTCATATCGATGAGTTTACTTGAAGCAGAACATCAGACATAAGCCTTAGTCTTATAAATTGCATTGCTCACTCCGCACAAGTACATCCCATCAGTACATGGATTTACACTTGTACAACAGAACCTCTCTCTCTCTCTGCTCACTTGCGTCCTCCCCTAATCTGTGCCAGAGAGTTGGGAGAACACCTATGACAGATTTAGGGTAACATGGCAGGAAGAATATGGGGAAGCCCCATTGTGCAAATGCAAATCCTTGCACTGATGGGATGCATTAGTTGGAAATTGCCCAATATTGATTGGTGGGTGGTATACCAAAGTAACTAAACAAATAACTAGGCAAACTCAACTTTTGCTCTCGCCCAGTAGGAGCTTTTATTGTTTTTTTCTTTGAATAGTAGGCCCTCATGTCATATCACAACTTTGGCTTCAATAGTGTTCTGTGACCACCATTTTAAGAACCTTTGCGAAGAATCCTTTGCGAGCACAGAAGTAATTGTACAGGTTTTTTGATTCTGGCCCAAATATAATGTAAAACTATATATAGCAATACTTACTTTAGCATAATCTTCTATCGCCAGTATTATATCACCATCCTCTTCATGGGCCTCAGCTCTTTTGTAATATATTTCATCATCTGTAGGTCTGCATTTCAGGGCAAGACTGTAGTTGATAATTGCTAATGAATTATCTCCCTGATTTTTGTATATTTCAGCTCTTGACAGATATGCATCTGCATAATCAAAATACTTTAAAATTAGTCTCTTTCAGATGCCCAATATCATTGATATGCATGTTTAATTTTTTTTAACTAAAATTAATTGCAACTGTAATAAAAATTTGCAAACCAAATCGTGTGATTCAAATCTGCAAATGTATTGGAAGTAATTTTCCAACCTTTGTCTAGACCTATGGATATTTGGCAGAAGTGTTGCATAATAATAAAACTTCTGTACATACTGATTTGATATGAGGGACACATAATCAGGAGCTTCTCAGAACAAAATTGTACATCATGGGGTTTCAAAGTTACTTGCCTGCATTGTTTTTGTTGCACTTAATTATAAAATTCAGGTCTTCTAGTGCTGGAAGCATTTTGTTCTGGTAAATGAAAATTAAATGTCTATGCCAATAGGCATTAACCAGCATTGGTTCTAAACTTATTGCCTGTGAAAGTAATGAGATAAATTGGTTATTAGTTACGTAGCTAAAAATTCCAGTGTATCATAAGGCACATCTTAAGTTACACCTCTGGGAGCATCACTTGGGATCTAAGGAAAAACAACATGGTGAGATCTAAGTTTTAGGCTCTATACAATCTGGTTACAGGACCAGGTGGAGCTAGCTTCTGGGTCAAAAGCAGATATATCATCTAAAAAGGGCAAGGGCTGAGTTCCAACCAGGAAACAAGGACCAGAGGGACCAGACGCTGGTACATTATCAAAAGAACACAAGTCAAGTCACAGGACAACATCAGAGCATCTGTGGAGAGGGCAGTCAGAAGCATATCTGCAGTCAAAGCCATACAGCTCTTATATTTAAGGAAGCCATCAGGGGAAGGAAACGGGCACATAGGTAATATGCTCACACTGCAGACCAGTTGCTCTGAGGTTAGGATTTATAAGACCTAGTGGACACAGAATAAACTGACTGAATGATCTGGCAGGTAGGAACAGAGTAGTTGCCTGAGCATGACTGCCAGGAATCCTGGCCTGAGGCCTCCTTTAGTGCCCTACAATTAGTTGCTGCAAAACATTTATGCACTGAAGCTCCTTGCATACTTAAAAATTAAATAAATGTACCATTTTTAGCTTATATTGTTGCTTTCATATTAACAAAATGCATTTTGAAATTGTTGGCTACAGAAAGTAGTTAAACTCAATCCAAAGTGAATATACTGGTCACTGTAGGCTGCAAGTACCTATATTGAATATCTAGTTTCAATATGTTCTTCTGGACCCCAATATAAAACAGTCATATAAGGAAGATCTATGGTCTGTCTAGCATAGCTTACTGCTACATTAAGCTTCCTTACTACACACTAACTCTATCATACGCTACTGAAAAAATACAATTGTCAAGCATTCAATTGATGCATGATTGTGCATGCACACATTGCACCAAGCCCAAAAGTGACCAAAACAGTGGCAAAAACAGCCCTAAAAGAGCCCAGAAAGGGCAAAAAAGACATGAAACAGTGCCTAGAAATTCCACGAGCCTTTGCAAGCGCAATCCCAGGAGCCCTTGCTCTAACTGTTAAGGCCTGTGGAGAGTTTAATTGGAGCAAGGAGGTTCAGATGGAGCAACTGTGGTGGTGTCTGACATCTGGTAAGTGCTGCTGGGTTTTTTTAAAGGGTTTTCAAGAGTCTAGAGTTTAGAGGGTGTTTGCCAGCTTTTCCAATTGTGTTTCCGGTGCCTCAGAACATAACTCCCATGTAAATGGGGAGTTGCTTGTACACAATAGCATACAGCAATTCTCTGATACTCATGCCTAGCTTCTTCGGTTCTAAATACCGTATTTTTCGCCCTATAAACACACTTTTCCCCCTCCAAAAATGAAGGGGAAATGTGTGTGCGTCCTATGGGGCGAATGCAGGCTTTCGTTGAAGCCTGGAGAGTGAGAGGGGTCGGTGCGCACCGACCCCTCTCTCGCTCTCCAGGCTTCAGGAAGCTATCCGCAAGCCTTGCAAGCCCGGCGGGAATTCCCGCAGGCTCGCAAGGCTTGCGGGCGGCAGCCTGCAGCCCGGAGCACGGGGCGCCCTCCAGAGGACGCCCCGTGCTTCGGGCAGGTGTCCGCAAGCCTTGCGCGCCCGGGGGGGAGTTCCCGCGGGCTTGCAAGGCATGCGGGCAGCTGCCTGCAGGCCACAAGCTCGGGGGACAGCGGGGAGGCGCAGCGCCACCATCCCGCTGTTCCCCGACATGGTTTGGAGGCTGTCGCTGGGAGAAGCGCACTTCTCCCCAGCACCAGCCCCACAAGCTCGGGGGACAGCAGGGAGGCAGAGCGCCGCCATCCCGCTGTTCCCCGACCTGGTTTTGGGGGGAAATAAAGGGGGGGAAATTTCCTTTATTTCCCCCCAAAAAAACTAGATGCGTCCCATGTGCCGGAGCGCCCTATGGGACGAAAAATACGCTCAGTGTAGTACCACCATGTCTGTATGACGTCAAACGTATGCATAACATCACCACCTGGCAAACAGCTTGATGTTTCTATAGTCCACAAAAGTGAACCATGACTGGGGGATTTTATGTAGATGAAGATGATGGATGGATGGATGGATGGATGGTGGAGGAACTTGTGTGAGAGGCAGGGAAGGGGAGATCTCCCAGGGTGGTAGGAAAACTCCCAGGTGATAGCTGGGAAGGCCCACCTCTTTCTATGTGAGACAAGGGCTAGAATCTACCTTTGAGAGAGGACTTTGCATTTTTCTTCCTCTTTTTGTTTTTGCTTAGTTTGTTTTTCATTGTATTGTATTGTGAAAAAACTACTGCAATCTTATTAAAAATGAACAATGAGTTTGAGTCAATCATACAATTGTCAATAGCTGTAATGTGGAATTAAGACTTTCATTAAAATATATAAAAAAATATTTTTCGTGTGTTCAGATATGTAGGGTATAATGAAAACAGATCACTGGTGACATAATTATCTGCAAAATTGCTAGGTTTCCAGATATAGTCCTGCAAAGTTTTTTTTCCTAAACAGAAAAGTGCATAAAATGAGGAATCCAGAGAGGGGATTATTTGAAAAAGATGCTCTTCCATTTGTTAAGTTCATCTGTCACTGCCAGAGGGTCATAGTTATTAATAAGATAACAAAGCATCTTCAGTAGCAAGAAGAAATAGGTATTATTTCTTTAAAACTTACTTTTTCCAAGTCATCCATGGCTGCCTTCATTTTGCCTATTTTCCTGTATATTGCTCCACGTCTACAATAGTTAAACCCAGAAAATTTTCCTTCATCTATTTCTTGGGTTATTTTATCAATTTCAGATTGACACTGCTCAAGTTCATCTGGCTTTCCCTCAAAGAGAAGAGGATTTACTGTGTTCACTAATTCTGTGTCCTTGGTTTCCTCCTCTATGTCCTTTTTGCCTGCCATTGATTTATCAGTAAAAGATTGCCTACTGGGAGGGTATTGCTCATCAAACCATTTATTCCAGATTTTTCTGGCCCAAAGATAATCATCTGTGTCTTCTGGGGTTCTCCCTTGGCTTGCTGCAAATTTTTCAAAATCTAGCCAGCAAGGGAGGCTGGGACTTCGATAACTTCGAACTGCTCGAGATACTTTGATACAGAATTTATTGTGAATTGGAAGCTTTCCAAGAGATGCAGACCTAAGGAAAAAGCCAAAACTAGAATTACATTTTGCCTGTACATTTGTTGCTGACATATGACCAATATGACATATGTAACAATGTGACATATGACCAATAAATATTCATTATAAAGTTTAATAAAGTATTTGATTGCTGCGTAATATTCAAGTTTCAACACATAACAGAAGATTCCTATCAGGGGTGCATAAAAATGGTTTACACTGTCATTAGTATTTCTTTTTATGTAGAAAATTTATAATTTATGTAGAAAACTTAGTAATCAAAGAGCTCTCTAACTTCTTTATTATACACTCATGTTGCACATGACAGCTGTGCAACTGTGTCAAACCGATAAAGCAATGTGTATAGCCTAAATAGCATTTTCTAATTTGGCACCTGAGACAAAAAATCCAAATAGTACCTCTTATGTTTAGTTTAATTTACTGTTAAATTAACTGTAATTAATTTACTGTATTTCAGTGCAACCAAAAGTGAAGCGCCCATACACAGAATCCCATAATGATTAGAAAGTATTTTTCCACATCAGTCCTTCACACAGCCACTGGCAGTGCACCAGAGCACTGGAGAGAGCACTGGAAGTCTGTGAGTCATTTCATATCCTCAGGCAATTTGTCTGCTCTATGTGATGAAATGCAAGAACACGACATGAAACTTGCATTTAGGCAAAAGGGTTGCCTACTGCCTGAGAATTTGCTGAGGGAAGAGAGGAAACAAAGCTATACAGAATCCTTTGGGAATCTTCTGCCCACAGTTGATGTTCTTGTGAACATATCTGGTACCAATTTGGTACCCTCCAAATGTTTTGGACTACAAACTACAACACCCATGATCTGTTACCACTGGCTTTGCTTGCTGGGATTGAAAGGAGTTGTAACCCAAAGCATCAGGATAACACCAATTTGACTCGCGGCGAGACGACGAAGAATGAGGCCGGGGAGAGGCTGGCGCCGCAGCAAACGGCTGCTGAACACGCCCCCTCTCAGGCACCTGGTTGGATGCCTGCCAAGGGGCGTGGGCGCCAGCCAGGTGAGATGGAGGCAGGGGGCTAACGCCCCCTGCTAGGGGCGGTGCTCGGCTCCCGTCCACAACCACTCCCCTCTCTTGCAGGGAGGAGAGTCTTTGTAACCCAAAGCATCAGGATAACACCAATTTAGGAAAGCTAGTATTACTGTATTACCCATAAAGAACTGGCACACACATAAAAATGGTATCTGGTGCTGTTGGAGAAATTACTGTTTCCATACCCTAAAGTGCTCAATATATAAAATTAAAAGTTGCAAATATTAATAAAAAGGCAGACCTTTTAAGAATCTGTGGAGGTTCTCTTAATTTCTCACAAACACTTTCTAATATATGAACAGAAATGTATTTCCCTGCTGTTTTCAATGATCTCCTTTTGTATGATGCTTTCCTTGGGAAAACGATGTACTTCATCCCAGCTTTTCTAGATTCTTCAGCCAGATTAGTTTCATCTATAGGTTCAAGAGCTGGAGTGGGTGCAATAGATGCAGATCGTCCTCTAGAGGAGAAAAGACCTTTTGTTTGCTTGAATGTACTTGCCAAAGCTATATCAGAATCTTTATCTGAACCAACAAGAACACTTTTGTGTGCGGCAGATTCTCTTTTCTCAAGGCTAAGAGAGCTTTGTGGCTTTGTTGATAAAATGCCAGGCTTTGTAGCTTCCGCATCTACTGAAAGACGTTGTTTTTTCATAACAGTTATCTCTTCCATAGTGGTTCTGAAATTTGCAGAAATCTTCAAAGCAGATTTGTCTCTGAATGATAATTCTGGTGCACTATGAGGTCTTTTAACCAGAACTTCCTGTAAGAAAAACAAATCTCAGTTTGTTTATTTTTAGTTTTTTGGATAACGTTCCAAAAGTAGTCAGCAGTATAAAATTGGATTGCTGGGTACTTAGTATGGGCTGTCTCCAACCCAGCACCTTTGTTTCCACAACTGACTGTGTGTGCAGAATTTCTCCTTCCCCTCCAGCCCCCGTGTGCCCTCAAAATCAGCCCTGGAGCATTGGGGGACCCTTCAGAGCACCTTGAGGGGGCTGAAGGAGAAGAAACGGAAGTCCCATTACATTAGTGGAACCCTGCTAAAGGTTACTATCACGTGAACAGATCCTCTTGAGAGAGTGAGCAAGAATAAGCCAAGCATGAGCAGGTTAATTCCCCCTCTTGCCTAGGCAAGATAAGATTATGTGACATATCAACATAATCAAGTATCTACCCAACCCCTCTCACTATGCCTTAGTTTCGTCTTAGTTCACGCGAGTGTCAGTGGAAAAAACCTAGGTCTAAAAGGAAGGAAACCAAAGAGAAACCTTTTCTCTGTAGATTTTCTTTGTAGGCCTGTTCAGAGTAAGTACCCAATGACCAGTTCCCCTGACTGAGCAGAAAGACATCAGGCAATAATGGCCTAAACTAAGCCAGTTGTGTATGGAAGTGAGAGCTGGACCATAAAGAAGGCTGATTGCCAAAGAATTGATGCTTCTGAATGATGGTGCTGGAGGAGACTCTTGAGAGTCCCATGGACTGCAAGAAGATCAAACCTATCTACGTATTCTTAAGGAAATCAGCCCTGAGTGCTCACTGGAAGGATAGATCCTGCAGCTGAGGCTCCAGTACTTTGACCACCTATGAGAAGAGAAGACTCCCTGGAAAAGACCCTGATGTTGGGAAAGATGGACGGCACAAGGAGAAGGGGACGACAGAGGACGAGATGGTTGGACAGTGTTCTCGAAGCTTCCAGCATGAGTTTGACCAAACTGTGGGGGGCAGTGGAAGACAGAGGTGCCTGGCGTGCTCTGGTCCATGGGGTCACGAAGAGTCGGACATGACTAAACGACTAAACAACAACAACAAGCCAGTTGTGACACAATCCAGCACTCCCACCAATGCAACCAGACTGGGCCAGCCTTGCTGCCTCCAGGGGCCTCTTCCTCCCAGCAAACCATAGATTCCATTGCTGGGAGGCCATGTGCACCACAGCACCTTTCCTCATCAACCATTCCTGCTTAAAAATACCTTACTGAGCAATTTTATATGTATTTACTTTCAAGCAAGTGCCATTATTTTCAATAGGCCTAAGTATGTTCAGAATTGCAGCCTTGAGCAGGAGAAGGGGGGAAGGAAATTTGGACATTGTAAACCTGCTGGAAATAAATAGAGGGAAAAGATCTTCCGCTGTTAAAACCCTGAGACGGGCTGCCGAAGCAAGGCACCAGGAAAGTGAACTGTCAATTTAAACTGGATACAAAGTTAGGGTTTTGACTGAAACAAAGTTATGAGACTTTAATGGAGTTACTTTGTTGAACTTATGAGGACATTGAAACTGTAATAAGAACTCTAACTGTGGACTTTTGGACTCTTTGTTTCCTGCCTTATGTTTCTGACTTTCTCTTTCTTTAACTGGATACAATTAAATGCTCCCTCTAGAGCAGTGTTTCCCAACCTTGTGCCTCCAGCTGTTTTTGGCCTACAATTCCCATCATCCCTTGCCACTGGTCTTGCTAGTCAGGGATGATGGGAGTTGTAGGCCAAAAACATCTGGAGGCACAAGGTTGGGAAACACTGCTCTAGAGGACTTTAAGAAAACTTGTTACAGTGAGAGAAAAGAGTGGTTTTTTCCACTTGTAAACTTTTCCTGTGAGAACTGACCTTGAGGATATGAGTGGCCAACCAGAAGAGATAACAACCAGAGCAAAAGCGAAACAAATTCAGCAAGCTCAAAAGAAAAGGGGTTCGATGCAAGGCACAACACCAGCTGGACAGGAAAAAGTACCAGCTGCATCTATGGAGTCAATGACACAGGCACTGCTGAAAATAAACCAGTCTTTGGAAGCATTGACAAAGCAGTCAGCGGAGAACACAAAAAAACTGAATGATTTGACAACAAGATTGGACTTGAACACGGCAAGTATAGCTTCTAATACAGAATCTATAAATAGATTGATTCAAGAAAATTCTGAAACAAGGAAAATTGCTCAAAGTGCAAAAGGTACTGCAGATGAGACAAAGAGGGAGCTTGCACCGATCGCAAAAAAGGTGAACGAACATGATGCAACCTTAGCTCTGTGGGAACTTCAGAGAAAAGAGAAGAACCTGAAATTAAGGTCGGTTCCAGAGGGTGAGAAGGACAGTCTTGTGGAATTTCTCACAGAGAATATTTCGGAATTTTGGCAGGATGAGCTAGAGGAGGAAGAATTCGAAATAACAACGGCCTTCCGGTTGGGCAGAAGACAAGGCAAAAAGCCTAGGGATTGTCTGATTACATTGAGATCTAAAGAAGAAAGGGACAAAATACTGGACTTACATTATCATAAGGCTCTTCAAATTCAGAATTGTCAAGTTCAGATCTTTAAAGACATCCCCAAATATATCTTGGAGGTGAGGGCCTTTTACAAAGATTTGGTTTACCTGCTGAAGAATAATAATATACCTTTCAGGTGGGAATTCCCACAAGGATTGTCTTTTAACTACACAGGAAAGAAGATTAAAATAAAAACAGTTCAAGATAAAGAATTGTTTTTGGAAAGATACCAGGAGGGCCTGCAGAAAGGAGTGATAGAAACAACAGGAGTGATAGAAACAACAGGAGACAAAGAACCGACAGATATCGCAAATCTTTCATTTGGACTTTTACCACCGTCAGAGGAGGAACAAAAACTTGGAGCAGTTGGAGGAATAGGCACATAGCAACACAATGTCTCTGCAACTTCTTAGCTGGAATTGTAATGGCCTTAACCTTCCCAGAAAAAGACGTCAAGTTTTTCACATATTGAAGAGAGAGCAATTGGATTGATATGCCTACAGGAAACGCATGTGACCAGGATACACAGGAAATTACTTGTAAACAAGAGACTAGGACAAGAATTTATCTCATCAGACAAGGTCAAAAAAAGAGGCGTCGTGATTTATGCAAAAGAAAAATTGGCCCCTAAAATGATATTTAAAGACAAACAAGGAAGATATTTGGCAATAGAAATACAAATCCAAGGAGAAAAAATTATGATATTGGGAATATATGCACCAAATGAAGGGAAGGCGGAATTTTTTAAGAAGTTGCATGAGACCTTAATGGATTATATGGACTTTAAAATTATAATGATGGGGGACGTGAATGGTGTTGTCTCCACTAATATGGACAAGGCACAGAAACAAACAATTTCTAAAGATGGAAGACTACCAAAGACCTTTTTTGAAATGACGGAAACACTGGACTTGATTGATATTTGGAGAGTAAGGAATCCTCTGGAGAGAGAGGGAACTTTTTTCTCCGAAGCAAAAATGACATGGACAAGGATTGACCAAATTTGGGTAACTAGTAGCATGGCGCCAAAGGTTAAAAAAGTAGAAATCTGCCCAAAGACATGCTCCGACCACAATGCTGTGAAGATGGAGATGAAATTAACAACAATTGGAACTTTCAGATGGAGGATGAATGACGCCCTATTCAGAGATGAGGAGATTTATAAGAAGGCCCAAAAAGCTTTGAAAGATTACTTTGAGATAAACCTGAGAACAGATGTGGAGAAAAGAATAATATGGGACGCAAGCAAGGCCGTGATGCGAGGTTTCCTAATACAACAAAATTCCATAAAGAGGAAGAAGCAAAATGAGAGGAAAGAAAAACTTTTGGAAAAGATAAAAGAAGGTGAAAAGAAACTGAGGTCCAAACCAAAGTCTCATGAGATTTTGAGAGAAATAAAGTACCATCAGACGCAATATATGGAATTGATGAATCAAGAGATAGAATGGAAAATAAAGCAAATGAGACAAAGAACATTTGAATCGGCAGACAAATGTGGGAAACTTCTGTCATGGCAATTGAAAAAGAGACAAAAATTGAACACTGTGACAAGTTTGGAAATGGATGGGAAAATCATCCACAAACCAAATGAGATAAGTAACTGCTTTCAAAGTTTCTTCAGGAAATTATATGCACAAGGGCCAGTTGATGTGCAAGAAATAGAAGAATTTATCAAGAAGTATGGATTACCAAAGATCTCAGATCAAAGCAGAATGATTTTGAATGAGAAAATAACAGGACAAGAAATAGAGGGTGCCATTCAGAATATGCAGCTGGGAAAATCTCCAGGACCAGATGGCTTAACGGCTAGATACTATAAGGCATTGAAGGAATGGATAATACAACCATTGAAGGAGGTCTGTAATGAAATTTTAGAAGGGAAAAAGGCACCTGAATCGTGGAAAGAAGCTTTTATTTCACTTATACCGAAAACAGAGACTGAAAAGAACCAGGTCAAAAACTACCGCCCTATATCACTACTAAATGTGGATTACAAAATTTTTGCAGACATTTTAGCAAAAAGATTGAAAAGAGTGCTGATAGGGGAGATTCATAAGGACCAAACAGGCTTTCTCCCAGGGAGACATATGTCGGACAATGTGAGGAACATTATAGACATTTTGGAATTACTGGAAGTGAACATTAATAGAAAGGCGGTTTTGATTTTTGTGGATGCGGAGAAAGCCTTTGATAATATTTGTTGGACCTTTATGAAGAAGAATCTCCAAGGGATGGGGGTAGGCCAAGGGTTTGAAAACGGTATAGGTGCTATATATTCTAAGCAAAAAGCAAAGTTGATTGTGAACAATGTGGTTACGGAAGAAATATCTATAGAAAAGGGCACACGACAGGGGTGCCCAATATCCCCCTTACTTTTTATAACAGTTCTGGAGGTTTTGCTAAACATGATTAGAGGGGACCAATTGGTTAAAGGAGTTCAGGTCGGAGCGAGGAACTACAAACTAAGGGCATTTGCAGATGATCTTGTATTGACTTTGCAACAGCCAGATACTAGTACTAAAAGAGTACTAGAACTAATTGAGATATTTGGTCAAGTAGCAGGATTTAAATTGAACAAGCAGAAAACCAAAGTGTTGGAGAAAAATTTAACAATGGCAGAAAAAGAGAAATTTCAGAGGGAAACAGGTTTAGAAATAACAAAAAAAGTGAAGTACCTGGGTGTGAACTTGACTTCTAAAAATGTGAATTTATTTAAAGACAATTATAACAAATGCTGGATAGAGGTGAAGAAAGATCTAGAAATATGGTCACGGTTGAGACTTTCCTTGTTAGGCCGAATTGCTGTCATCAAGATGAATGTATTGCCTAGAATGTTGTTTTTGTTTCAGACACTTCAGATCTTAGATAAAATGGACTGTTTCAAGAAGTGGCAAAAAGACATATTAAAATTTGTCTGGCAGGGCAAAAAGCCCAGAATAAACTTTAAGATCTTAACTGATGCAAAAGAAAGAGGGGGGTTTGCCCTGCCGGACCTGAGACTCTACTATGAATCGGCAGCGTTTTGCTGGCTGAAACAATGGCTGCTTCTTGAGAACACAGACATCTGGAAGGTTATGACAATAGATTCGGTTGGCATGCATATATATGGTATGACAAGGTAAAAATACATAAAGGTTTTAAAAACCATATTGTTAGGAAAGCACTATATAATGTTTGGATAAGATATAAAGATCTACTGGAAAGTAAAACTCCCAGGTGGCTATCACCAATGGAAGCTAAAGAGACGAAAAAACTTAATATGGAGTCCAAATGGCCAAAATACGGTGAAATCTTAGAGCAAGATGGTGAAAGGGTCAAATTACAGAGTTATGATAAACTAAAGTCTAAAGTACGAGATTGGTTGCATTACCTTCAGATAAACGAGGTATTCAAACAGGACAGGAAAATAGGTTTTCAGATGGAGAGGTCGAAATTAGAAACAGAATTGTTAGATCCCAATACTAAGAACTTGTCAAGAATGTATAATTTGCTGCTGAAATGGAACACACAAGATGAAACAGTAAAATCAGCTATGATTAAATGGGCACAAGACATAGGTCATAACATTATGTTTGAAGACTGGGAAAGGCTGTGGAATACTGGTGTTAGATTTACGGCCTGTAATGTTTTGAGAGAAAATATAATGAAAATGATTTATAGATGGTATATGACCCCAGTCAAACTTGCAAAAATTTACCACTTGCCCAATAATAAATGTTGGAAATGTAATGAAACTGAAGGTACTTTCTATCACCTTTGGTGGACCTGCCCGAGGATTAAGGCCTACTGGGAAATGATCTACAATGAAATCAAAAAGGTCCTTAAATGGACATTTTCTAAAAAACCAGAGGCTTTTCTCCTGGGCATGGTGGGCCAATTGGTGCCAAGGAAGGACAGAACTTTTTTTATGTATGCTACCACAGCAGCAAGGATTCTTCTGGCGAAGTATTGGAAGACGCAGCAGCTACCCACTCTGGAAGAATGGCAAGCGAAGGTGATTGACTACATGGGAATGGCTGAGATGACCGGCAGAATCCGTGACCAGGGGAAAGAGACAGTGGAAGAAGATTGGAAGAAATTTAAAGTATACCTTAAAAATTGTTGTAAAATTGAAGAGTGCTGAGATGTTATGGTGTTAAGAAATAGAGAATTGCAGCTGTATATCATAAATTTAAGGGAGCTATAATGAAGATGAATTAATAATGAAATGAAGGGTTGCTGTTAAAAGGGAAAAATAAGGATGCAGAAAAAGGGAGGTATGGGGAAGTCCGGGAAACAAGGTGAAGGAGAATGAGTCTATGAAATTGTACATGTTTATTTGTGTGTATGTTTTGTTTTGTTTTGTTGTTTGTTTTTGCTACATGTCTGGAAAACTAATAAAAATTTTATAAAAAAAACAAAACAGAATTGCAGCCTTGATTCTACAGAATCTATGCTGTCCTCTTTCATTCATAATGAGCATGTTTCTACAGCAAGCAGCTCATCCACAGATGCAAAGAATGAGTTTAAAGATTTTCAGTTCTGCTGTATACACGTTTATTTTGAAGTAAATGCCCACTGTGTTCAATGGGGCTTATTCTTACTAATCCTACTCCCATTTACCTAGAAGGAAGCCCCACTGAATTCAATGGAACGTGTGTCTAAGCAGACATGTATAGGATTGGACTGTGTGTTTAGGGCTACAGTCTAAATAAATCTTGCAGCACAATCCTAGGCATGTCTACTTGAGAGTAAGTCATCACAGCTACTCTGTGTAAATAACTGATATAAAAAGTTTGAATTCTGAAAATCAGAAAGTGCTTTAGTATTTCTTCTCACAAATTGTTTTGAAAAAATTAGGCTACAATACTATCTCAACCTACAGCACCTAGACGTAAGCCCACTAAATTCAGTAGGACTCATTTCTGAGTATACATTGTTACGATTGTGTTGTAAGGCATAATAAAATGAATGTAGAGAGATGTATTTACGTTTTGTTTACCCTTTATTGTAAACAATCCTGGGGATACAATTGAAGGGTGGTGTAAAAATGCCTGAATTTGAAAAACTGTTGACAACAGTTACACAAGCAAAATGATTATTATTTAATCTCCCAATTAGGAAACCTAAGGAATATCTACCACTAAATCGGAACAGAATTAATTTTTACAGAAGCAACAAAATCTATATGCAAAAACTGGAAATAAAATTATTTGGTTGGCACTTAGTGTCACATAAGTCAAATAAGATTTTATAAAACCAACATACATATTTCTTGCAGATGCAACTCCTTCACAGCAGACTACTTACACATTCTGTGATGTTCTCCTGCAACACAAAGTTTTGGTATCTTGTAAAATGAGACATTACAAGAATAACTGATTATTATCTAACACTAGTACAAAAATTAGGCTGCTTGAATTTTACATTTTTTCAAGCACATTGTTTTTCACTTCCTAATTTATTGACCACTGCAAGTTAATTATCGCCAAGAAGGAATAACTCTACAGTCCCAACATGTAAAGAATGGATAAAAAGAATCTGTCTGCCTTATGGCACAGGCAGAGGCTGAAGCCTCAGCACTGCTGGATCTCAGCATTCTTGCTCGTTTAATTGGTTCCAGAGCAGAATAGGAGGGGCTGTTGTCTTAACCCCAACTCTCTCTCTCCCTTCACACTTTGTGAAACCCAAATCCCTGCTAGGATGTTTTACTCAAGCTCTATGGAGAGACTTGGAGAGCCCAACACAGACTCTGCATCAAGAATAGGAAGCAGAGCTAATCTCACACTTTAAGAGCTCTGCCCAAGCAGAGAATTTTCCACAGTTTAGTCAGGTTCATTTTAGTATATACAGTAATTGGAATTATATATTTTAGATTTTGTTCAGAGAGGTTCCTGCTCTTCAGTTTTCCTTAATAGAGGAGTAAAGTTCAAGCCAGCCCTACCCTCCTACTACTGGGAAAGCAATTATGAAGAATCTTAAATGCCCTGCTTAGTCTACCAGAGAATTAAAGATTAAAATAAATAATTATAATTTTGAGTTAAACTTTAAACAAGAAATTAATATTAAATATGGATGTGATTATTGCAAATAATAATTAAAGCTTTAAGCCACACTCTGGATAAAACTGTTGCTATGAAAAATCTACTATATATTTTGGGAAATTGCTTGTTCACCATGCATGTGGACATCTCTTAAGATACTGCAACCAAATTTTGCATGGTGGTTCCTGCAATTAAGGAGCAGGTTTTCCTCAATGTTTGGCTACAATTGGACACCATTTTGAATCAAGATGGCAGCCAGAACCTTTCAAAACAGCACTGTTTTAACCACTGATTTAAAAACTGCACTGATTTTTTTTTGTTTCTTTGAATTCCCAAGCAATGCTGGGTATGATACGGCTAATAAATAATAAGTACTAAATAATACATCTGAAAAAAGTTACAATACCTGTAATGTTTCCCTTTCAGAAACTAAAAGCCCTGGAGAGGAAGCGCTTCTTCTACAGATTTTAAGAGTCTATGAAACAAAGAAAAATATATACAAAAAGTGGGTATTTTTTAAATAGAACAAACGTATTTATTTTCATAACACATTTTTTCTTGGAAAGCTACCCTAGATTCAGATTGTGAGCATGTATGTTGGTTTTACATTAGGAGTATGAAATTAAAAATAAATTGAGTTTTATTTACATACTCGTAAATCTGACATAATTATGTACACTGAAGTCTAAAAATTGTGGTGGAAGAGATGCATCACAGAGCTTTCTTTCTGGTTTAGAAAAGGAAATAATATTGCACATAAACACCTTGTTAAAAAGGAGATATTTGCCACTAGGCAATAGTTGTTTAACATAGGTAGAGGTAAAGGGATCCCTGACCATTAGGTCCAGTCGTGACCGACTCTGGGGTTGCGGCGCTCATCTCGCTTTATTGGCTGAGGGAGCTGGCGTACAGCTTCCAGGTCATGTGGCCAGCATGACTAAACCGCTTCTGGTGAACCAGAGCAGCGCACGGAAACGCCGTTTACCTTCCCGCCGGAGCGGTACCTATTTATCTACTTGCACTTTGATGTGCTTTCGAACTGGTAGGATGGCAGGAGCAGGGACCGAGCAACGGGAGCTCACCCCGTCGCGGGGATTCGAATCGCTGACCTTCGGATCGGCAAGCCCTAGGCTCTGTGGTTTAACCCACAACGCCACCCGCGTCCCTTTAGTTGATTAACACATCTAGGTCCAAATAGAATCAAGGAAGGCATCCGGATGAGGAGCTTGGGAATTTACCTTCAAATGACAGAATGGCCAGTTGATGAACAAACAAAAAAGTCAGATTTTCTTAATATTTCACAAATATTACTACTTGGATTCTTCATACTTTTCATGAAATACAGAAAATTAAAGATAGTGTAATTTTGGCAAAAGAGCCTGTCTCAGTTGACAGGCTTCTGTTACAAATCTAAGGCATATCTCAGCTGCAGCAGTCAGCAGGGCAGGGTGTCAGCACTTACCTGACCTGCTATCACTGCTGCTGCAGCTTACAGGAAGGGACAAGGCGATGGGTGTAGTGAGCATAGTGCCAGCACACTGGTGGAACCAATCAGGTGTTTCCGCCAGTGCATTTGCATACTAACCTTATCACTGCCTTTCCCCTCCTCCTTTCATTATACTGCAGCAACAGCAGTGGCAGGTCAGGTAAGTGCTGACACCATGGCACCCACTACTGTTTGTAAGACAAAGAGACAGGGATCTTAATTAACTAGGCCTTGGTTCTTCTGATGAGCTGAAAGGAGGAGCTCTGAAGTTAAATACTAGATGGAATTAAGACAGCCACTAAAGAAGTTTTTTTATTTAAGACCATTTTCTCTGAAGTGTGCTAATTGTACTTTAGTAAAAAATGTTTTTAGAATTATTATTTTGTATTTTATGTCACTTTATCTTGTACTGTACACCACTTTGATGGCCTCAGGCTAGGAAGTAGTTTATAAATCTGTAAAATAAAATAAATAAGCAAATGGCAGGTTCTGTCTCAGGCACAGGACGCAGAAGAATGAAAGTTAGGAGATATGGGACATCCAGACTGAAGACTGAAAGAATCTAGTTACCTCTGGGAATCTGAGTGTGCCTAAGATTGCTTGGTAAACAGCCAAGGGAATTAACTGGACTGCCCAAGGGCAATAACATTCCTCTTTAAGACTGCTTTAGTGTTCTCGAAGCTACCAACATGAGTCTGACCAAACAGCGGGAGGCAGTGGAAGACAGGAGTGCCTGGTGTGCTCTGGTCCATGGGGTCATGAAGAGTCGGACACGACTAAACAACTAAACAACAACAAATGTTCTCCTAAGGAAGTACAAAGGCTCCAAGAGTCAAACGAGTACTGAGGGGCCCATGCCCATCTTGGCCCTAAAGAATTACAGTATACGGACTGAATGTGGTCCTTTCATAACATTGACATTCAATGAAGAAAAGTTGACAAATGCATTCTGATATATTAAGCTTCTTCAGTATTTGTATGCTGTTGTTACACATTACTCCCAGTTGAGTGGTGTCCCCTCTAACCAGTTCCCCCGTGATTCCTCAGAATGCCAGACCACTCTTGCTTCAGAGGACAACCAGTGAGGCCTTTTTTCTCTGAACTCAGGAGCCAGATTCATTACAGGACCCTCCTATGGGCTTCCCCTCCTTTCTTGTGCTCAGGTTCGTCCTCTTTTCTTCCGCTATACTGGTCCCTGTACACAATTAGCATAGGCAGTCCTACTGCTTCTTTCCTCCCCTCAGCAAGCTCCTCTTGGCACCCTTGTACTTGACCTCTCAGTACTTTGCCTGCCAGTTATATGAAACACTGAGGCAGAGGGAGTTCCCTGTTCATTGCCTGTCTATTTTCCTGTTGGAAGAACCAAACACTTTGGAGCTTTTCCTGCAGCCATCTCTTCGGCTGTTCTCTCCTCCATGCCCTACTATTCCCTCTCAGCACTTCTGTTTTATCTCTGTATACTGAGAGAGGTGTGTTTTCCCGCCAGACTGATTGCTGGAGAAGCTTCCTGCAAATACAAAGGCATGAGCCAATGTCAGGTTCCTCCTCACAAAGCCCTTCCAAGGCAGCTCCCATAGGAAAACAACCCTTTATGAAATATATAAAACCATTATCAGATCAAAAAAAGAAGAAACTATTACTGCAATACACACAGAAAGCAAATGGTCAAAGTCCTCCTCAAACTCTAATACTTCTTGATCTCGAAGATCACATGAAAAGTCTTCATAAATAACACCATTAATCAGATTGCTCTGGAAAAATAAAAAGGTTTAATGATAACTTTTGACTGGTGGTATAAACCATCATACCAATTTCAGTTTGACTTCATAAATCTCTAGGAAAAGTTAAAACGTTAACATCAAAACTTCATTGGATTTGATACACTCCATTTGGTCCCACTAAACAAGGAATGAACAAGTTGGACAATATGATTTATTTTGGCCAGTAGTACAAAATAATCTGAACAGTTTGAAATATGGCTGGTGTATATATATTCACCCAGGTATTTTAGCTTACTCATACACAAACAAACACACATACATACATACATACATACATACATAGAGAGGTTTGCACTATAAAACTCCAGAAGGATCATATCCAAACAAAGGAAATATGAATTTCAGCAATACTAAGAAAGAACTAGAATGGTTTTGGGCATTCACAATACAGTACAATCCTGCAGGTATTTAAACATTAGCATGTTTAAATGATATTTGATGAAATATTTAAATATTTTGGAGAATGTGCCCCAATTGCATATGGCATATGGTATGTAATTACTAACTGTAAGTTCATGTTTACATTAATTTAAAATACACCACTCTATATCAAAATAAAGCAACTATTTCTATAATCCACACTTTCAGTTATAGATATTGGTACAGAAACGCTACTATTTAATTTATATTTTGTGTAGATAATCAAATGTGATATTAAATGAAATGCTGTGTAGTCTTCAAATATATTAAGAATTTTTACCTCATACTTTGGAAACAAGGTCTCCTTCATAAGAGAGAGAGGAGCGGCGAATTTCTGTGGAGCTGGTGTCCAAAACATTTTGAGAGACCCTGGATGAAATTTAACCTTCACATCAAAAACAATTAACAAAATTAGTATGACTTTAATCCTAGACATGTTTTCTTCTGAATAATTAGATGTTGCTGTGCTGAATTGGTAAACATTTCAAGACAAATCAGGCATTTTGAGATAAAACAGAAGTGAAGGAAACACAAAATATGAAGGGCACTTGTATCACCTGGCAAAAGTTACACATCACATTTGCATGGCAAAACCAGCATTCTCTGGATCAGGGCAAATGAGTGAAATCCTTATTCTAAACATATTACATAAGAGTATGGACTACCTCAATCAGCAGGAAATCTAAATGGAAAGACCCAAGTCCTATGCTTTCATATGCCCAGGATTATATATTAGCAACAGGGGGTGCTTACATCCACAGTTGTATCTTAAAGCTGTCCCACACAGTTACACTTAGAAATTTATTAAACTAGTATCCTCAAAACAGAAAATGCCAGGAGACTCCAAAAATGGCAATGGCTACAGCAAGAGAATGAGACATCATAAAACTCTCTGCATTCAAGGCCCAGTTAAATAAAGAATTTGCATACAGTTACCTCACTGTCAGAGATACAAGAAAGAAATAGAAAAATTGACTGAAAGTCAGGGGAGAGGAGAGGGGTTTCTGTGAAAGAGAAAGAGTCCAGCCTTCAATGTGGTTGGATTACACCATTTGAAAAGGAGATGAGCTTGTCTTGAAAGGAAGCCACTAGGGTTGGTAAGGCAAGTCCTAATATTGTCTGTTGAACCTCCCCCCTTCTGTACCTTGAGGAGTGTATTGTATAAGGACCTGGGAAATGCAGGGCAAAAAACTACCTACTATGCTTTGAATTTTTCTTCCCTATATAAACACCCTCTTTAAAAAAGGAGAAGCAATCTAGAAAGACAATAATTTGTTATATTTCAAAAGATGGGACTTCAGAAAAATAAGTTATCAGAATTACGTATCAAATCTTACTTTTTCTCCTAACAGGGCTAGTTGAGGTTTTTCAACATAAAACTCAGCTACTCTTTGCCATTCAGGCATACTTTCTGGTGACCTTGGAGGGAAAACTTTAACTCCATCTTCCTGACTGCATTTGTATACTTCTGAAATAGGAACCCCTTCATTACAAATTCTGGAAAAAAAGATTCTCAGTAAGATATTGGAATATTTGTAAAGCACACACACAGAGAGAGTATTTACTCCGTTCAAGTTTTATGCTTTGTTTTGCTTTTAAATAGCACACTCTTGATGGCAAATAATTGCAGGCTATAACCTCAGCAACTACTGGCCAACATAGCTCAAGTAATGATGGATTCAGACTGAATTTTATTTCAAAGCAGAACTGGGAGATGAGTGTGCTGACAGTGGGGAAATGAATAGAAAGACAGTTAAAGAGTAATTGATTTGGAGAAATGGGGGGGCAGCCATTTTTTGACTAGCCAGGCCTAACCACAGCAATCATTTTGTAGTGTTGCCTAGGTATCAAGTAGGTTTTGTTAATAGTAAATAGACTAAATTTCATTGAGATTAGCTCTCTTGGTATTTTTTAAATTAGGTATTAACCAGCTCAATCCCTTCAAATCAAAGGGATCTTCTTATCACATAAGTTAAGCATGCCGTGTGCAGTTCTCCTGCCAGTGATCTATCAACAACTTTGATGAATTAGTTTTAGTGTTTTTACTATATAAGAGTTTTAATTGCATTTATATGTTTCATGTTTCTGTAAACTGCCCAGACAGCTATGTTATACATCTGGTATACAAAGAGAATGAATACATAAATAAACAAAATGTAAAAATAGATATTTAAGTCAATTATCATTTTCAACTCAAGAGTACATTCTAACAGTGCCATCTACTGGTGGTTCAAAATTTTCTCACTAGAGAAAAGATGAACACTGCTGGGTTCTGCAATAAAATCTGCCTTCAAAGTCCTGTGGGTAGAAAGCAAGGCTATATATTTAAAATCACCATTCATATCTTTATACCTGTGACCACCAAAATATTGTTTTCATTTTAAAAGGGAATGTAATAATGCAAATGAACACCGTTCATTCCACAGAACACTGTTTCAGAGTCTTGTTTAGTCTCTCAGATATTAAAGCATTATCTACACTTGGGTAGTTTCTGATTTCGTAAGAGAATAGTGATAATGAATTACTCTAGCAGGGTCTCCAAAATTTAAGCCAGGAAACAATCAGGATTAATTAAACTGCCCACAAAACATTTTGCTGAAGGAAAGCCTGTTCACATAAACAAGTCTCCTGAGTCAATAGAATCTCTCACATTCTCATTCCTATGAAAAGACACTGCTTGATAGTGTTTGTTGATTCAGACTAGATGCCATTCAAACAACCGTTGTCATGTTAACAAAGGAAAGGGCTTTTCTTGGACCAAAGGGGAAAGGGGGGAAACCTGCCTGACAGCACGGCACAGGGATACCAGAGCACATCTTCAGTTTCTGCCTACCATACACTAAATCACAGGAATAAGTTTCAGGCATTCCAGTCCCTGCTCTGACCTGTCACCCTAACCCACTATTCTAATGTCAGGATGTTAGGACAGCTAACTGCCCTACAAATATTTGTGCTGGATGTGTTTACTGGGCAGAATACATAGAGAAATGGCTATTGGTTTAGAACAGGGGTGAGAACTGGTGAAAGGGAACAAGTTACCTCTTTAAAGTAACAGTGACATTTTAAAGCAATCATTAAACTTAGTCTTGTTTAACATGCAAATAATTCCATTATCTGATATTATCAACAAATTTCAATAAATAATACAGGGATTGGCAGTTTTGCACACAAGCAAGGCACACACAACTGCTGATATGCATGCTCTTTTCAGCCCCAGAATGGGGCAGGACCGGCTTTTGTGTGCCCCACTGATGCGCACAATACCCAGAATGCAACCCCCACACAAACAGGGAGTTGTCAGTATACTTGCCTGGCATTTAAATTTAAGTCCCTTAATTAGTTAAAATAGCTGGGTTTAGGCTAATAGTTGAACATGAATTAATTAAATTAAATGCTAGCAACTTAAATTTATATTTTATGTCTTGGGTGTTTTTATTTGCACTGTGCTGTTGTTGAATTGGTGTGTTTTACTTTTGTTTACTGTGCAATGTCCTGGGCTCCTTGTGAAGAACAGCAACTTAGAAAGGTTTTTTAATAAGTAAATAAATAAAGGGTGGGAATCTTACACCTAGAAATATTGTAACAAAAAGTATCAAGAAGTCATAGCATCATTGAATAATAATAATAATAATAATAATAATAATAAATAATAATAATAATAATAATTTATTATTTATACCCCGCCCATCTGGCTGGGCCTCCCCAGCCACTCTGGGCGGCCTCCAACAAAGTATTAAAATACAATAGTCTGTCAAACATTAAAAGCTTCCCTAAACAGGGCTGCCTGTTTATAAAGAATTATAAAGATTATAAAGAATATAGAAGGACAAGTCGTTGAGGAAGTATCAACATGGCTTCTGCAAAGGGAAGCCCTGCCTGACTTACCTTTTAGGATTTTTGACAGTGGCAGTAAGTATGTGGTTAGGGGTGATTCAGTATACATTATGTACTTGGACTTGAAAGAGCTATTCAAAGCATTACTGTTTTACAATTGTTGGCATCCCAGCTAAGAAGACCACTAGCAGGGCCAATCTGGGCAGGAGAGCTGCAGGGCAGGAGGGCCATCTGGCCCAGGGCTGCTGGCTCAAAAGCGGGCTCAAATTTAGACACTTGTTAATTTTTTTGCATTTAGTATGTTTCACAACTTGTTTTTATGCACATCAGACCAAAATGTGACACACCTTCTCAGCTAGAAAAGGTTAGAAAAGCTATTGTTAAATAAAATGTCTCACTCTATTTTTGCGCCTTGTTTTCGGATATTTTTATTTCAGGTAATTGTTATTCTTCTTATGGTTAGGAGTCTCAAAAGCTGGGCCTCTCCAAACCTCTGAGAGGGCCTGGGCCTCTCCACTGGAACCTCTTTGGCAGGACCACCTTCTCTGAGTTCCGCCACTTCTCAATGGGAGGCTTGCTGGGCCCAGTCCTTCCTATTGCACCACCCAAAAAAGAGAGGACACTGAAGCAGGTAAAGCCTTCCAGAAGAAGAGGGCAGGTGAGCAAATCAGAGGCCAGAGCAATCCTCACTTGCTCAGTGTTTGCTGCCAAAAGATATGCCCCCTGCAGTTGGTCCAGGACTGAAAGGCCAGGGATGGGTAGGAACCTCATGCACTGAGCACCAGCTGTGCTGGGAAAGGCAGCAGGAGCCACTGGCGGAGGAAGAGGGGTGCGGGGGGAACGCACTGCCCCAGCAGCACAATCTCGGTGGGGTGCCATCGCAGCTGCCCCCCTGCCCCCTGGGACACGCGCCCCCCCTGGGACACGCGCCAGCCATGCACCCGCCTGCTCTCTGCCCCCCCCCCCCAGTGTCGGAGCATGAAGCTCCGCCACTGGCAGGAGTCACAAAAACTCAGTGTGTGGCACAGGAAGGAGGGACACAAATCTGTAGATTTCTGTTATTCCTGGAATGCAAATAAAGTTGTGCGAATTGGTTCTTCCACCAGAAAAAAAGATTCACTGTTACATAGAACTGCATCATAGTGCTCACTCGGCAACACAAAAACATTGCACAAAGTATTCTCTAATCATACCTTTCTCTTGCCATAAATTCATCATAAGCAGGAGTGGATGGTAAGAACTGCTCTGAGAGGTCACTGCAAAGATTAACTGGTGGTAATAAAACATTATGACCTCTTTTGTCTATGGTATGGTGTATTCTTGAAGCAAGCTGCAGATGAACAGGCAACACACATCTTGGGCAAGCCTCACAAAGAAGGTGAATAAGTGGGTGATCCACATCTCTAGAAAGAAAATAAAGATCATTACCATTTGATGCATGTAGATAATAATTTTAAAATTACTGAGTCTGGTGGACCTGTATGTTTCTGTCTGGAACCTATTAAGCTGTTTGGGGCTGTCTGCTCTGCTCCTCTCCAAATAACTTTAAAAGTTCATGCCTTGGAAGTGGTGCAAGCATTCTGGCGCAAGCTGAAGGGCAAAAGCCAAAGGGTGCTTGTTCTGTGGTTCTTTGCCTCTGGCTTGTGCCCTCTTTAAAGAGGGAGAGAAGAGGGGAGAGGGGAGGGGAGGGGAGGGGAGAGAGAGCACAGTGCACTCCTCCCAAGGGAATGTGGAAAGGAATTATCTTAAATATCACACATGGAGAATAGTCACCATACTGGGGGGTAGAGGTCTTCTATGGAACCTGTTGACCCACCCCTCTATAAAACAACACGGCAGTGATCATTTTCTTTCTTTGAGGGTGAAAGAGAATGCAAGACCAAAAACTATGACAGATCTTGCTACACTGGCTAAAGAAGCCTCTTCCCAGAGGAGCAGTGTTCAAGCAGCTGTTTTTGATGTTTTGAATCAAACTACAATGGAACAATACAGAATGTATGTACAGTGGTGCCTCGCAAGACGAAATTAATCCGTTCCGCGAGTCTCTTTGTCTTGCGGTTTTTTCGTCTTGCGAAGCACGGCTATTAGCGGCTTAGCGGCTATTAACGGCTTAGCAGCTTAGCGGCTTTAAGAAAAAGGAAACAAACTTGCAAGAACTCGCAAGACGTTTCGTCTTGCGAAGCAAGCCCATAGGGAAATTCGTCTTGCGGAACGACTCAAAAAACGGAAAACCCTTTCGTCTAGCGAGTTTTTCGTCTTGCGAGGCATTCGTCTTGCGGGGCACCACTGTACTGAAGGTGAGAAAAAGTGTTGCAAAGTTATGGGTTAGTGTTTCTGCACATGGTAGTCTGTACTGCAAAATTTCTTAAACAATTATATACCTTAAACAACTACCTCGCACACATTTCCATTTTCTTCCACAATACAATTTCCCTGTCACCCTTTTTCAAACATAAAAAGTTACAATTCTGTAGCTCTCAAAAGAAAGCATAACAGACAAGTTTAATTAATCACAGTCACCAATTACAATGTTACCCAGTGTGTTTTGTTAAAAGGTTTTGTTTCTAATCTAACTGAGAAAATAACAACTGAACCATAGTTTATTGTGCCCCTTTGCTTGAGCTCCAAAAGAAGATGGAATCATTTACCAGTAATGGACAAAAATGGAAACACTCCTAACAAAAAACTAAAATATTTAGAACATGTTGCAGGTAAAGGTGTGTGTTTTTACAGCACACACTCTCCTTAAGCACTCTATTTATCATCCTTTGAAAGAGAACACAAAGAAAAACCAATACTATGTGTGTGGCCTACATTAACCTCACTTAATGCACTCAATAACTTTTTTTCACAAAATCATGCTTTTTCTGCACCATTGATAATCTGACAGTAACTTTTTACTGAAGTAAAATACTCATTGTCTGCTGTCATTATTTGTTTTAATACATAATCTTGCTAACCAAATGAACTTAAAGCAATGTAGATAAGCAATGGCATGCACGGGGTCACTTAAATGCCAATTTGACCGTTTCATAAACTTTGGAATTCTTTTCCCATGAGTCTGCTCTCGGTTACTTAATTGAAAGTAATATCCATTTACAAACTTCAGACTTGCCATAAAAAGGCTCTCTTCCGTGTCCCAGAAACTTTTCAGGGCTTGAATCACAACAAAAGCTAGTAATTAAAGCTTTTTTCCTACACCAATAAAGTAGTGGAGGAGTAACCTGGGGTATTCCAAAACACATTTGACCCTAAGAAGTTACTATTCCAAAGGGTGCAAAACTGAAAAACAAATGCGAAAATAAATAAATACTGTAAAGGAAATGATGCCAGGCACATCATTCAGTTGAAAGGCCAATACCAAACATATTTAATGAATTAAGTTCTGAGGAATGCAACAGAACTTACTGAAATAACGCATGCATACAATTAATAGGGAAGCCATGCACCATGGTCTGCCACAGACAAGACTTATTAAAAGTACCAGGGTCTTTAAGAGGAATACATCTAATTGGTTAATTTCTTTCATCAATTCTATGGATGATAGCATAGCCATTATCTGCACAAGCCTATGTAAGTCTACTCAAAAGTAAGCAGATCTACTCATCAGTAAGTCCCAGTAGGTTAAATGGAGCATATTCTCAGTTAAGTGGGTATAGGAGTGTAACTTAAAGCAGGTATGATTGCAAGGAACTATGTGTACCACTCAGCACATAACATGCAAGATGGTGAGATTTTAAGAAATAAGTGAAAAAGCAGGGTTGTTTCAAACATGTGGTCCATCTACCTACATTTTTCCACATTCGGGGAGGTTATGTGGAGGACAGGGACAGACTTTGGGGGTGTGGACATTCAGGTGGATGGTTTCCAATGTGACGTACAACAAGATATAAGGCAGCCCTTCCCTATTTATTTATTTATTTTAACAACATGCAAATACTACTTGATTGTACTAAAACCTCTAAGCAGTTTACAAGAGATAGTAAAATTATCAGTAAAAATAGTTAAACACATTTTAACATAATTTAAATATTTTAATTTTATTAATTAATATATTAAATATTAAAACGTGGCAACATCTACATGTCTGAATAAGCTTGCCTAATCAAATCTGTTTTAAGCAGGTGTCAAAAAGAGTACAGCAAAGACGGCTGCCTGATGTCAATCGGCCAGAAGTTCCAAAGTGTAGGTGCTGCCACACTAAAAGATCTATTTCTAACATGTTTTACAGATGTATACTATTATCAGTTGTGGTGTGCAGGATTATGCAGGGATATAGATTTTCATAATGTATTTTGGGGGGGCCTCCAGGGAATATAAATAAATAAAATGAAAGCTTTATTTCTCGCAACTGTGGAACGAGTATTATGTAGCGTGTAACACTGCTAGTTCCACAGATCAAAACTGTCAAGTGTGCAGTTATGTGGGTAAGGCAATCCTGCAAGTAAGCCAAACCATTAAGGGCTTTATATACCAAGAGTAACACCTTGAACTTCACCTAGTAACAAATCGACAACCAATGCAGGTAATCTGAGCACAGGTGTTATATGCTGACAAGGTCTTACTCCTGGCAGCAACCATGCTACAGCATTCAGCATTCCTACAAGCAGAAGGCAAACCCCACATAAAATACACTGCGGTAATCAAATCCCAATTTCTGATTTGATCCTGGAATATCCTGCTTTTCCTTAGGACGTCCCTATTTTCATTGGAGAAATGTTGGGAGGATATGGACCATGGGCCCATCAACTTCAGCCTTGACTAAATTAGGGGTGGGCAGAAAGTAGAGCAGGATCTACTGGTAGATCTCTGCATGATCTGAAGTAGATCAGAAAGGATTGATCGTTACCAAACGTTAACCAATGGCAACATAATTACACACACACACATGATGGAGATAGAGATTGCTGAAATGAACTGGGGGAGAGATAGCCAAGAGTGGATTTGTGAGCAAACTATGAGCAAAGTTAAACTCTGGTATTCGAACCAATTGCTGAATTCTTTGATTCTAAGTATATAAGTTTTGCACCAAATTCCTATTGGTGACTTTAGGGGTTCCAGTATGAAAAAAAGTAGATCTCATAAAGCTGAAGTCTGCCCACTTCTAGTCAACACTGACTGCAGTATTCTGAGACAGACATATTTCCCAGCCCTACTTACAGATGGCAAGGACTGAACCTGAGACATTTTGTATGCAAACTACTGAGTTATGGCCCTTTCCCTACATTAGGCAATAATCTGCAACAATTACTCTTTGTAATTTAGGATTGAATCTTCTGCACTCTAGAACATTTATGTTGTAATGCAGTGAGCTGTTCTTGTGTTGTGATTAACGCTTCTGTCAGTTCTGCTGTGAACTCATTAGGTAGCCTTCGGCAAACCACTGTTCTCCAAGTCTCTAATGCGACGTACTATGTAGGTTTGCTTTAAGGTTTACAAAAGCAAATTTATGTGAAGCACTTGGATCACTCTGAAATGCTATATAAATGCATAGTATTATTAATTAGTACTAAAAAAAAGTTCCTCTCACCTCTGTTTAAAAATAAACGAAAAGGAAAAAGAGACCAAGATTTGGGTGTCCTACAGACAGAATGTAATCTAAGATCAAGCTCAATTGGGCCATAAATCTCTTGCTGGAAGGAAAAGAATTTGGGGGCTGTGATAAGAATGCTGCAGAGATTCTGAGTGTTGGAAAGGGGTATTAAATCTTCAGTGTGTTCAAAAACTGCCCACCTTTTCCTAGGCTGAAGGGAAAATGTCGAAGAACTGTGAGATGTTTAACTAGTGAGACAGAATGGTTTTTAGCCTGTTCCGAGGCTTGTCGCCTGTACGGAGACATCGAAGCAAGGGATGGAGAGATAAACTTCGTGATTCAGTTCCGCCCCAAGCCACGATGGGAGAAAACAACAGCTGGGAAGTGAAAGAGACAACACCATATATGGACAGAAGGAATCTCTATGCGCATAAGTTTCCACACACAGGGCAGAATAAAGATAATAGTTTGAGTTACCTTCTTGAAGCTTTATAAATTTATATATTATAATATCACGAATGGAAATCATTATGTAGCTGTTGACTATGGGATTATTATTATGACTTAAATGTAACTGGCATTGAGATTAGGTAACACAGATCGGAAATGCACCCAAACCGCCATGCGGGAAGCCACTTTAAGTAAAATGTATTAATTGGAAGTCGATTGGCATTTTGATAATTGTATAATTTGGCAATTAATTGCTATTGTTATAATTTGGCTATTATTGGGGGTATATTGGAAAACTAATAAAAATAAATAAATTAGTGCTAAAAAGGAAATATTTTTAAGCTCACTTGATCTTTGTAGTCCAAGTGGAAAGCAGAGATACGGGATGCTGTTCATCAAGATCTTCTAAATCCTCCTGAATTTAATAGTTTAGCCTTTGGAATTGATTTGCCTTTTATTTCCAGCTCTATGTCTGAGGACAGAGACTTCTATACAGGGATAAAATTCAACGGTAAAGTCAAGAACATTAAAAAAGAATGGCTAAAGTAAACTTTCAGCAGCCTCACAGTTGGGTTATTTGTTCAGATGTGCAGTAATATTCCTACCCCTTTTTTTAAAAATTCCTTGCTCCTCCCTGTTGTTAGGCATGACCACAACCACAGACAGGCCATCTGTCCATGTTAAATTATGGAAAGCAACCCTAAAACCAGAATTATTAAATATATAAAAACTGAAGCCTTGATCAAGAAGAATTAGCATGTCTTCCACACTTTTCCTTATCAGATTCAGGACAAGACAGCTGCCTTTCTGAACTAGAAAAGCAAAACTTACCCTCTTCTGATGTGTCATCTGCACAAGTGATGTTTGCCTCAATTCCGTTCAACACTCTTGAATGAAGAATTTCTCTTCATTATCAATCTTCCCCACCCCTCCAAACTTTAAGGAGATAAAATGGAGCTGGTTTTCTGATGAAAGGGTCTATCATAAAACATGTGAGGGAGACCCTTGCTCTGTGCAGGTAAATTGCTGATACTCTATCTAGCTTAGGATATTTAGTAAGAGTGTGTGCTGGAATTTCACAAATTCCAATGCAAAGTGGGATGCCTTGGAAGAATTTGGAGCTTCTCAAAGGTGAAGCTAGATCTCTGTGAGGAGGCAAAAATGAAAGCAAAATAATTTGCCTGCCACCCAAACATAGAGACCACCCACCCAAACAGCAACTCTCTTTCCAAAATTCAAGTACAGATTATTGGCCCTCATCCAGTATACTAATGCATGCACATACCACTCCAGACCTTTCACAGCCTCTCCTGATTCAGATGTTTATGTTCTAATGAAAGTCTACGATTTGTCCCTAAGATCAGCATCCATATCTGAAGACTGGAAAGTGGTCAATGTAACATTCATTTTTTAAAAGGGACTCCTGGAAATTACAGGCTACTTTCCTTAGTATTTGCTTTATTTTCAAATTATTTCCTAATTATCCTTTTCCATGCTAGAAGGGAACTGAAAAGAAAACTGCCGATGTCATAATGCCATTTTACAAATTTAGAGTATGACTGCACTTGGAATACTGTGTACAGTTCTGGTTGCCTCACCTCCAAAGGAATATTGCAAAGTTGGCAAAAGTTCAGAAAAGGGCAACCAAAATAATCAAAGAGATCACTCCCTCCTTTGTTTTTTCCTTAAGGTGACTTAATGGCTTACGAGTCCTTTCTGTAAAGTGTCTTTCCGAGATCTAAATATGAATAAATGGTATTTTAAAATTTATCTCTTACCTTTGATGGTTCAGGTATGGCCTTTTCCACATCTTTTTGCTCTGGAGGAGTTGGCTCTTGTAACTGTACAACCTCTGAAGATGAACTCACTTCACTTTCATGGAAGCTTATTACCTCTTGTGAAGATGATAATGAGGAATGCTCTACTTTCTCTCTTGGCATTTCAGTCACTTCTTCATCAGCCTATGAGAGCATTTTAGTCTAGATATACATTTCTACTTCCCTCAATTATATATATATATAAACCCTGCACAAGGTCCTGATCCAGACTGGACCTGCTATTGCTTATTGTCTGAAAGGTGTCACATCTGTTTTGTCCCTGTTTAACAGCAACATACAGTATACTTGAGAAGAAGGTGAGGCAGTGTTTAATTTTTTAAAATGTAAACAATGAGGTTGAGGTCTGTGAAGAAACCTTGCCCTCTATCCTTTTCACTAATTCTGTATAGGGAAGGGACAAGCTGTTATTGCTCAGGGTAATGAGAAAGGAATTGTGCACATGTTCACATAATTTCTCCTGGCTAGTAGAAATAATTGTGCACATGTTCACATAATTTCTCCTGGCTAGTAGAAATAATGGTGTCATTTTGCTACCAAGACCCAACCGACCCATGCTCCTCTATTAATCTGAGGGCTACTAAAGTGCTCTACACGGGCAATTCCTGCATCTCTTTATTCTATTACAATGCTTGTGCCACAGAACATCCCCACTCCTCTGATCTGAGGTTGCTGCAACACAAATCCTTGAATCTTGTTACACGTGTGGGTTGGCCTGTTCTCTACAGCAGCACTGGTTGGTATTATATGGTTCACTTTATGTTTCACATAAGAGGCATTTAAGAGGCCTCCTTTTCAAACATTACAAGTAATCAGTGATCTTGCTCTTTGTGGCTGCCAATCATATAGTGGAATTTACTTCCAAGTAAACAAGCATAGGGACACGGGTGGCGCTGTGGGTAAAAGCCTCAGCGCCTAGGGCTTGCCGATTGAAAGGTCGGCGGTTCGAATCCCCGCAGCGGGGTGCGCTCCGGTTGCTCGGTCCCAGCGCCTGCCAACCTAGCAGTTCGAAAGCACCCCTGGGTGCAAGTAGATAAATAGAGACCGCTTACTAGTGGGAAGGTAAACGGCGTTTCCGTGTGCTGCGCTGGCTCGCCAGATGCAGCTTTGTCATGCTGGCCACGTGACCCGGAAGTGTCTCCGGACAGCGCTGGCCCCCGGCCTCTTAAGTGAGATGGGCGCACAACCCCAGTGTCTGTCAAGACTGGCCCGTACGGGCAGGGGTACCTTTACCTTTTTAAACAAGCATAACTTTACACTGTGAGAAGGATTAGCTTTTAATTTGCTATGTTTAAAACAATAGAGAAAATGGTAGAGTTGGAAGGGTCATCTAGTCCAACTTCCTGCAATGCAGAAATCTCAACTAGATCATACAAAATGATCTAACCTCTGCTTTAAAATCTCCAAGGAGAGTTCACCAGCTCTTATGTGAGTCTGTTCCACTGTTAACCAGCTCTTACTGTAAGACTAGTCTTCCTGATGTTCAGGAAAATAAATATATAAAATAAATATATAAATAATTTTTAAAAATTTAAAATAATACAAAGTATTTTAAAAATAAGCTTTTGTTTTGATCTCTCATTCCATGGTCCAAAGTTTACCAAACCCTATTCCCAGCCACCTAAATTAGCAAATCAACCAATCCCAGCTTTAATTTACATAGAAGAAACAGTCATTTTATATTTTTCAGTCATTCTATCCTTTTTCCTTGTCTACTGTATGGGAGACCTGCTCAGAATAAATTACCAAAAGAATAACATTTTGTCTTTTCTAAAAGGCTCACCAAACATAGGAAGCTGATTAACAACCATGATATAAAGCTGGTCAGACATTCAGACAGTCATAAAGCCCTGAGCCACCCCAAAGCCAGTCGCCTCAGCATGGATGTTGAAGGTCCCTAGAACCAGCAGTCTGAGAGTCCTCAACACCACCTCCAAGGCTGTCAGCTCAGGCAGGGAGACTGCTGGGCAGCAAGGCGGGCGGTAAACCAGCAGAATCCCTAATCTACGCCAATTGCTCAATGCCAGGAATCTGTCCCAGCCCTGCCTGGAGATGCATGGACTGAACCAGGAACCTTCTGCATGCAAGTCTGGTGGTTTTTCACTGAGATACAGCACTTCACCAGTTTAATCTGAGAGCACCTGGAAAACTACCCAATCATAGGGCATCCGACTTGCTGGGATTCTTTCTCACTTTATAGAGCTTTATCCAGCCCTCCAATTGTCTAGAATCTGCACAGCTTTGCCTAATTCTGATGTCAAGATAAACAGAGCTAAGTGTCATTGACATATTGGAGGCACCCTGCTCAAAGACTAGGCTCACACTGAGAAAGCAGATGGCACATGGGATACAAGAATAAGAAAAAGGATGCATAAAACAGCAGCTTGGAAAGAGAATAATACAGGTAGTATCAGCAAAGAAAGGAGTAGTCAGAAACAAGAAAGTTTAGAATTTAAGTTTTACCTTTACTTCAGCAATATCTTCTCTCACTCTTGCGGCTTCCATTTGAAAGTGAGCTTGGGGAAAGTGAGCTTGGGGAAAGTGAGCTTGGGGAAAGTGAGCTTGGGGAAAGCTCGCTCTTCGTGATGATCCTGGTATCTCCTAGAGAAAATAAAGGGCAAATATACAATCTACAGTAGTACATAAATTATCAATCATCATGGATGAAAGCAGTGATGTTTTATGAGCAAGCTGTATCATCTTCACCAGGAATACTACACCTGTAGCCCATCACAGGTTTGTTGGACTACAACCCCATTATCCCCAAGCCCCGTCAGTCTGAATGGGGCTGCTAAGACTTGCAGTTCCCAAGATCTGGAGGGCACCAGGTTGGGGGAAGGCTATTGTATATTAATCAGAGACCCAATGCTTATATGCCTTGCTGGGATTCTTTCTCACTTTATAGAGCTTTATCCAGCCCTCCAATTGTCTAGAATCTGCACAGCTTTGCCTGATTCTGATGTCAAGATAAACAGAGCTAAGTGTCATTGGCATATTGGAGGCACCCTTCTCAAAGACTAGGCTCACACTGAGAAAGCAGATGGCACATGGGATACAAGAATAAGAAAAAGGATGCATAAAACAGCAGCTTGGAAAGAGAGTAATACAGGTAGTATCGGCAAAGAAAGGACTAGTCAGAAACAAGAAAGTTTAGAACTTAAGTTTTACCTTTACTTCAGCAATATCTTCTCTCACTCTTGCGGCTTCCATTTGAAAGTGAGCTTGGGGATGGTGAGCTTGGGGAAAGCTCGCTCTTCGTGATGATCCTGGTATCTCCTAGAGAAAATAAAGGGCAAATATACAATCTACAGTATCAATCATCATGGATGAAAGCAGTGATGTTTTATGAACAAGCTGTATCATCTTCACCAGGAATACTACACCTGTAGCCCACCACAGGTTTGTTGGACTACAACCCCATTATCCCCAAGCCCCGTCAGTCTGAATGGGGCTGCTAAGACTTGCAGTTCCCAAGATCTGGAGGGCACCAGGTTGGGGGAAGGCTATTGTATATTAATCAGAGACCCAATGCTTATATGCCTGCCAACCCAGCAGCTGTTGTTGCAAATTTCTTACTGCCCCAAATCAAGGGGCTTGAATGGATTCTCAAAAGAAGGGAGCTCTTTCCTTGGCAAAGGTCCAGGGATGTCAATTTTCAGAAGGAGCCATAACACAAGTAGTAATTGTTATGCTTCATTACAACCAGTAGCAGCCTGTGTGGTTGAGTCATCCTCCCAGTGCTGGCTCCCCGTGCCCTGCGGAGGCTTCGCGCAAAGCTAGACCAGCTAGAGGGACCACTGCGCAGCGCTCCCTCTAGCTATTCTGGCTTTTGGATAGCCCCCACGAAGGCTCCCCGCTGCCCTGGGAGGCTTCGCACGGCTCTTGTGGGAAGTGGGGGGCTCTGTCCCTTCCCCCACCTCCCAGAGTGCGGCTCTGTCCCTTCCCCCACCTCCCAGAAAAGCCCCCAAGAACTGCGCTCCCTTTAAAGAGCGCACGGTGCTTGCGGGAGATGGGGGAAGATACAGAGGGCAGCTTACCCGCGCGCAGAGGCGTCAGCAGCTATCCCAGAAGCCAGAACAGCAAGAGGGATCTGGCTTCTGGGATTCAGAATTTCCCCCCCTCTTGTTTCCACCCCCCCCCCAAACTAGGTGCATCTTATCGTCTGGTGTGTCCTATAGAGCAAAAACGGCAATTTTTTAAAATTTTAACTATAAGTAAGTTATTGCTAACAAAAACAATTCAAGGAATATTCATGAGATTTTCCGTTATTTGTTTGTTTGATTGTATGTTTGTTTACTTGTATGTACATCTGTTTTCTCATAAATGTATTTATTTTAAATTAATAAAGATATATTTTTTTAAAAGAGAGATTTTCAAAACAAAAGAGAAAAGGAAGCAGATTCTATTTCAAATTAGGGTATTTAACTGTAGAAATAACATAAAATATATAACATTATGTATATAAAACCAAGTTTGTTTTCAGCTCTCATTTCATCATTTGCTTTCAACACATATAAAATAGTTGAAATACAAGGTATATTGTAAAGTGGCAAAAGCAAGTTCTGTTATACCAGTTTATTTCACCCTGACAGTGAAATTTAACTGTGGCCACTTTCAGTCCTTGCAGTGGGGCGGGGGTGTTTGTGCAAATGTTAAAGAACCTCCCTAAACTGACTAGCACTAAAAAGCAGTGCAACATAACCCATATTGTCTTCTAACTGTACCTACCACCACTTTTTGCATGTGCAAGTTTATTTTGTAATCCATTCCAAATCTGGAGCACAACCTCAGCTAGCGCAATGCTCCTTCTCCATATAAAGGCATTGTCCCAGTACCAAAGCAATGGCATGCATTCTCATTCTCTGTAAGCTTAATAGTCAATTCTATGTTCTGCTGCCATGAGGCAGAACAGTGTAGAATACAGTGGTGCCTCGCAAGACGAAATTAATTCGTTCCGCGAGTTTTTTCGTCTTGCGGTTTTTTCGTCTTGCGAGGCACGGTTTCGGAAAAGTTTTGGAAAAGCTTCAAAAATCACCAAAGTCTTCAAAAACCTCAAAAAAGGCTACCACACTATGAGTTGCTCCTCGAAGTCAAGTCGCAACTGTATTAACGGTTTTAAGAAAAAGGAAACAAACTTGCAAGACGTTTCCGTCTTGCAAAGCAAGCCCATAGGGAAAATCGTCTTGCGAAGCAACTCAAAAAAACAAAAACCCTTTCGTCTTGCGAGTTTTCCGTCTTGCGAGGCATTCGTCTTGCGAGGTACCACTGTATCAGGTTAAGAAACAAATATTTTTCTATAACAGAAGCTTAAGCTATACCACTTTCGCTTGTTCAGCATCTTCTGCTGTCAGTTCTTCAGGTGCCAACTCTGTTGCCAGAGGGTCTTTTTTAGCAGGTGGTGGCTTGAGAAAGAAAGAAGAATATTAAGATTAAAAAGCATGATCTTTGATGTCACATTTTAGCCATAATGAAAGCATTTGATGGGGGCCAACAGGTTATAGAACATCCCTGAATGGCATCCTATGGAATTCCACCATTAGATCTGCATCAATGGGGATTGTCCTTTTGCCAGGCTCTACCCTGATAGAGATATCGGTCAGCAAGCAGGTTGCTGATCCAGGATACAAACCCAATGCCCATGCCAAAATCCATCTTACATCTGTAATCAAGTTGTGGCCAATTTTTCAATTCAAGGTGGTGTCTTGTCTTACTTATTGTATCACACTGTCATTTCCCTGCCTCTGTGGCCACTGGCCTGCTGTGCTGTGGCCTGCAAAGATTAAGATTAAAAAGCATGATTCTTAGCATCATCTTTTAGCCATGAGGAAGGCATTTGTTTACATAGTATGTACTACTATGTGATACAATTTAGATTCTTTTCACATTTAGGCCTGGATCTAAAGGTCTGCTCGCCTACCGGGAAGCTATGTTACCAATTCCCACAAGCTGCAGGCTTTGTCATTTCACATGATGCTCCAGGTCCCCAAATCCTCCATAGCAGTTTCTTATGGAGTCAATGTGCTCCGTACTGGGGGGGATCAGTGGCCCTATGCTACTATGTACAAGTGACAGGGCAAGTGGGGATTCAGTTCAACCAATATTCCTTCGTTTCAATCTGCAGCTACTTTGATTACAGCGTATATGATAAAGGACTAAAACATTTATTAGAGCGGTCCTCTGAAACAATACTAAAAAATTAACATCATTCTCTGATAATGCTTTGAACCTTATCAATTTTACCTGTTCCATTTCCAAAGGTGAAACTTCTACAGCTGGAGCCCCTTGTTCTCTCGCCTGAAGCTCTTCATTCATAGCTAATATCTTCATTGTACGAAAATATATATAAATATATTAGAAAGTACACCAATGTCAAACAACAGTAGAACATTTTGCTGAAGTTGATGCTAATGTAAGTGTGGAGTCTCCCGTATAATTTTTTTAAAGCACGTTCTATCAATAACCACTCTACTATGATCCTATACATTTCTGGCACAATTCAAGCTGTACCATACCTATGAACTTGATCTCTGTATACTGTAGGTTAGGCACTACATCAATCTCTGTATCCAATATCAACTTGGAAAGCTGCACATGATACTCAAACATGAAAATCATGTAGACAAGCACCCTCAGTATGTGTTTCACATGCATGAAACTCTTCCCTAGGGCCCTAGTCAGAAACAGAATAAGTGTTTTATTTTATTTTAACCCATTTTAATTCACTTTGAACCACCAGGATGAAGCCTGTATACACACACACACACACAGGCATGCATACATACATACTTTGCAGCAGGCTGCAACAATGGTTTTTGTGTACTTCCAGGATACTTCTACTAATATATCTATTAAACTACAGAAAACCTATCAAAGGAGGATGCATTTATATTTGCCCAGTCTAACTATTAGTTTTATAAGGTACTACTTTTTATCTGTGCTACAGCACAGTGTAGGTTTTAGAGAAAAATATGCAAATTTTAAAAATAAAACCAAACATATTTCACGCATTCTAAGTCCACCTACTGCTTTGTTTACGTTGTAGTCCTGACCAAGAATACTCTCCACAAGTTCTTTGATCCTCAGGTCCGAGGGAGTTGGTATAGTAGACTTCAGGGATGCAATAATTTCATCAATAGACCTTACAGCTATTCTAGAAGGCATCTTTTGCAGGGAACGCTGTAGTTGTGACCTACTTCGCGTGAGGCGCCTCGCTTTTGAAATGCTTGATGTACTCCCACGTGAAATTTCTACCAAAGCCTCTGCAGCAGACTTCATACTAGATGAGCCACTGCTTCTTTTACTAACTGATATTTCAACGTCAAATATTGAACCTAATAAGCATGGTTTTGAAATTTCTTTCAACATATCAGATTTTCCACTTGAACCAGAAACCACAGAATGTGTGTCATCAGCTTCTACATTTAAAGCGCTGGTTCCTCCAACTGTAGAAACAACTACTTCTTCCGATGTTATTTTTTGCTTTAGTTGTTCCATACCCAAACTGTTTTTCTGTAGAGCAACAGATTTAGCTGGTGATTTCGCATGACTCCTTTGATATTTGGGTTTCGGTGGGGGCTCTGGTTTCTTTAGCATTGTGAGTTGTTTGCTTGTACCTACGAAAGAAGCTATTGCTACTGCAACTTGTTCATGTTCACCTTCCATGTTATCACTTTTGATTTCTGAGGTTGTTTTCTTAAAACTAGGGGACTCTTTCTTGTCAACATTGCCCTCTTTCTTAGATGTCTTTTGTGAAGTTGTGACATCTTGTGTTTCATCTTCCAGGCCGGTAAAAGTGATCCTAACTGCTTTCAGACGTTTAGAAGAATCCACTTCAAGAGAAGAATCTGTACTTTCAAGATGTGGGGATGGGCTCCTTGAGCTCCTATAAGACAAGGTTGTTTCAGGTGGTTCAACCTCCAAATTGGATTTTTCCAGTTCTCCGTGAACATCAGCAATTGCTTGTTTAAACCTGACAAATTTCTGTCGAGATTCTTTGCAGACATTTTCACGTTCCTTAAGGATACGCAATTCTTCCAAATAGCTTAAGCCAAAATGCTCATGTTTTCTAGCCATTTCTTTGCACCTTTCAAGAAATAAGCATAGAATTTTACTTATATGTGATTAAAATCCATAGCTATAAAAGATTAAGAGACCTCTTAATATTCTTGACTTTGTAAATTAGCATATCTGGGAGCTTCATGTGGACAAGCTGAAAAGTGATTCCAGATGTGCTAATTTATATGAAGCTCTACATATTTTTTGAAGAACTGCTAGGAAGTCTGAAAAAGGAGAAGAAAAACAGAAAAGCCACAAACATTTAATTTACCATGGTTAGTCAGAGAGAGGAACAGGAGGGCTTCAATTGTCCCATTTAATTTTTCTCCTTCCCCAGCACCACAGGTAACACACAAACAACAAGCAAACTATATCACTGACTGACAGATTTATAAAATGTTCAGCCTCAGCCATGAAGCTCACTGGGTGATCTTGGGCCAGTCATAGTCTCTCTGCCTAACCTAGCACACAGGGTTGCTGTGGGGATTAAATGAGGAGGGAGAAAACCATTTATGCCACTTCAGCTCCATGGAGAAAAGGTGGGATGTAAATGCAATTGATTAATTAATTAAAACCTGCTCCTCTATAAAAATAAATAAATCCAGAATGATATTTCAACATTAATTTGACTAAGTAGTTTCCAATAAGGGTACTGCCTATTAGAAAAAGCAAGTTGATAAAATAAATGTTAGCTAATTTGCACAATTGTACATATAAGTAAAAGGCAATGATTCTGAAACAGCACAAGTGCTGACTTTTTTACATGATGTGTGTGAAAGTTATACCAGGTGCCTTCTTAGGAGAGGCCTTACCTCGTGAGCAAAAGAGGAAGAAATGCCTCTTTTAAGACAGAGATTGCTGTCTGCCATTTTAACAAAATACTTGCTATTTTTTTAAAAAAAGAATCTGCTGCATAATTAATTGGGGACGCCTTTTTTTACTTTCGCAACAGGTCTAGCTGATTATATACAACCAAGTCATCACACACAGCAGCCATATAGTTCCCTCATCCATCCCGCACCCACCCATTGGCAGGGTCCTGTGCCCTTTAGGCAGGGCCAGATTTAGGTTTGATGAAGCCCTAAGCTACTGAACGTAATGGGGCCCTTTATACGTCCAGCTGTCCTTTGCCAACAACAAATTGTCGCTGTTTTTTGTGTTGAATATATGCTATAGGTACCTAATAGACACCTAACAGATATCTAAATCCATTTGCACATAACAAAATATGTATTTTACCAAAGTAATTGTTGAACTGAAATACAATTAATACAGTGGTTTTTTCCTTTAAAAAATTTGGGGGGCCCAAGAGAGTGGGGCCCTAAGCTATAGCTTGTTTAGCTTACACAGTGGTACCTCGGGTTAAGAACTTAATTCTTTCTGGAGGTCCATTCTTAACCTGAAACTGTTCTTAACTTGAAGCACCACTTTAGCTAATGGGGCCTCCTGCTGCTGCCGCGCCGCCGCTGCGCAATTTCTGTTCTGATCCTGAAGCAAAGTTCTTAACCTGAGGTACTATTTCTGGGTTAGCGGAGTCTGTAACCTGAAGCATTACAGTAACCATATGTAAGCGTATGTAACCCGAGGTACTACTATACATAAATCTGGCACAGGCCATATAGTTCCCACATCCATCCCACACCCACCCACTGGCAGGGTCGGTCCTGCGCCTTTCAAGCTGGGGCTGGGAATCCGTGGTCCTCAAGTTGCTCATGGACTCCGACTACCCCTAAACAATGGAGTTGGGACCGAAAAATTAGGGCAGGCATAGGCAAACTCGGCCCTCCAGAAGTTTTGGGACTACAACTCCCATCATCCCTGACCACTGGTCCTGTTAGCTAGGGGTGATGGGAGTTGTAGTCCCAAAACATCTGGAGCGCCGAGTTTGCCTATGCCTGACTTAGGGGGTTTCCTGCACCTGTTGGATTTCTGCCACGCGGCTGCTTCGCGCCAAATCCTCGCCCGACGTTAACTTTCCCCCGCGACACATTTCAAGCAAACCTCGCTCCGCGATTCCTCCCGCGCCAACCCGAAAGCGGTTCCCTCACGGCTCGGTTCCACCTCTCCCCATCTCGTCCTTTCCCAGCCTCTCCCTCCTCAGCGGCCGCCAACGACGACGGCAGCAGCTCTGGCCCGCCGCGGGGAGAGAAGCGCGCGCGGTCGCTTAGCAACGGGCTGGGACGCGGAGTCAACGCAAGAGAGACAGGCCTGGCCGGCCGCGGCTTACAGGGAGTGGGAGAGGAAGCGGTGGGGTTGGGGGTGCGTCGTTGGCGAGAGCGCCCCCTGGGGCAAGGGAGGGTCGCGCTGGAAACGATCCCCTCGGCTGCGTTTGGCTCTCTGTGGAGAGAGGGCGTTCAGGTCTTGCTTGTGGGATGCTAGGCTACGTGGACCATCGGCCTTGCTTATGTTTTATCCTCGGCAGGTCCAGTTAAAAGCCCAGGAGTTGGGGGGTCCTCTTCCCCTCTCAGACAGCTGTAGGCTGCTTGGACCAGTGCCCGATTTACATATAAGCTAAACAAGCTATAGCTTAGGGCCCCACTCTCTTGGAGGGGCCCCAAAAAATTAAAGGGGGAAAAAACCTGGATGTACATTTCAAAAATATAAGATAAAAAACAAATAAAATAAAACCTACATACAGCAACAGTGTTTTGTGTTCTCTAGGCTCCTATGATGTAAGTAATGTAAGTAAGTGATGTAAGTAAGCCTGCTATCCTGCTCCCTAAAATATCACTGGTTTGCTCATTTCTATATATAGGGTGCCTACATTCTGCATGGACTGGTTGTGTGGCAACATGTGCAAATGGCTTTAGATACCTATTAGGTCCATAAATTACCATAGCATATATTCAACAGAAGTAAAGGTAAAGGGACCCCTGACCATTAGGTCCAGTCGTGGCCGACTCTGGGGTTGCGGCGCTCATCTCGCTTTATTGGCCGAGGGAGCTTCCGGGTCATGTGGCCAGCATGACTAAGCCACTTCTGGCGAACCAGAGCAGCGCACGAAAACGCCGTTTACCTTCCCGCCGGAGCGGTACCTATTTATCTACTTGCACTTTGAGGTGCTTTCAAACTGCCAGGTTGGCAGGAGCAGGGACCGAGCAACGGGAGCTCACCCCATCATGGGGATTTGAACCGCCAACCTTCTGATCGGCAAGTCCTAGGCTCTGTGGTATAACCCACAGCGCCACCCACGTCCCATATTCAACAGAAAAACAGTGGCAATTTGTTGTTGCCAAAAGACAGCTGAACATATAAATGGCCCCATTACCTTGATAGCTTAGGGCCTCATCAAACCCAGTTTGGCTATATGGACCATTGACCTTGCTTATGTTTTATCCTTGGTATGTCCAATTAAAAGGCCAGGAGCTAGGGGAATCTTCTGCCCATCTGTAGAGTCAGCCGTGGGCTGCCTAGACCACTGTTCTGGCCCAGTATTTTCATATAAGGTTTTAACATAGAGAGAGAGCTGTTTTGTGTCTGAATTATTTATCGTGCTTCAGCTCTTAGAGATTAATTTTACTCTATTTATATCTGTATGCTCTCTGTTGTTGCATATGTTTGCACTCTGGTCAGTGACTGAAATAAATCGATTTATTCATTCATTCAGTATTTTTATTTACTTATTTATATTACATTTGTTAGTTGCTTTATCTTGCCCAAGGCAACCCCAAAGCACCTTGCAAGCAAACAAGGGGGGGACACCAGTCGAGTTAAATATGGTCAAGTGTATAGTCCTCTAGCCTCTACACAATTACTGTTTGGGGTGTGGGTGGCACTGTGGTCTAAACCACTGAGTCTAGGGCTTGCCGATCAGAAAGTCGGTGGTTCGAATCCCCACAACGGGGTGAGCTCCCGTTGCTCAGTCCCAGCTCCTGCCAACCTAGCAGTTCGAAAGTACTCCAAAAAGTGCAAGTAGATTAATAGGTACTACTCTGGCGGGAAGGTAAACGGCGTTTCCATGCGCTGCTCTGGTTCGCCAGAAGTGGCTTAGTCATGTTGGCCACATGACCCAGAAGCTGTACACCGGCTCCTTCGGCCAGTAAAGCGAGATGAGTGCTGCAACCCCAGAGTCATCCGCAACTGGACATAACGGTCAGGGGTCCCTTTACCTAACTTCTGTTTAAAGGGTCTGTGTGGCAGTACAGTGACTCACTAGGACAAGGAGACCCAGGTTTCTCCCTCACATGGCAGTTTGGTTTGTTTTCATGACTTTCCCCCAATTCTTAAGTTCTGCATTATATCTGAGTTTTAACGTAAAAGCCACTTCTGGAACCATAGTGGAATAACACAGTGCAAGTTTAGTGTTCATTTCCAGGTTGTTTCCAAGGGAAAAATCCATTTGCAAATAATATGGAAGTGAGAACTAAACTTGTGCTATATTAAAATAGAGTAAACTGCCATGTCAGTGCCATCATCAGATCAGAGTTTCTCTTGGCCTTAAATTTCACTGAGTGATTTCTCAGGGGCCCTTTCAGACTCATCTTTTCACCAGCGTGTTCTGCAACATGTCATGGCCCAATAATAGTGCATTTCTGGTGGATTTATACTGGACCATCCAAACATCATTCCACTTTATTAGTTTCCATGATGTTATTGTATTATGACTTGCTGTTATTAGTTTCCTTTATTTCTCTTCTGATGTTACTGTATTGTGACTTGCTGTTATTTTTATTGATTATAGTTTAACAATGATTTATTGTGTTGTCATTGTTGAGAGTTGTTTACTGATATTATGAGAGTTAGTTTTATTGTGTACAGTTATATTCTAATGGATTGTTGAATGTTATTTTCTTTGTTTTAAGTGGGTTGTTGTGAATATAAAAGCAGGGAGGGGAGAAGAGAATCAGGTGTGCCACCTTGAGCTCTTTGGAGATACAATAATGCAATCCTATACATGTCTATTCAGAAGTAAGGCCCACTGAATTCAATTACACTAATTCCTAGGTAAGCAGGCATAGAATTGCTTGCTGAATCCAGATATCTACCTTGTTTTAAATTAAGAGTAAACTTTCTCATTCTGCCATCCAGTACTGCCCTCTACAGTTCAGTTGTTCACTATCTCAGTTAACGCTGAAAAGCCTTGCTGAGCTTCTAACAGTTTTCTTTCGAGCCATCCTGGGATGAGTGGAGGAAATACTGATATAAATTATGAAGAAAGTCGGGGAAGAGTCATACACATGGACAGGTTTTTAAAAAGAAAGTCAAAGAGCAACTGATAGTACATTTTTTAAAAATCGTGCATCTGATGAAGTTCCCTATGGTCCACAAAAGCCTATGACATAATACATTTGTCTTTAAGATGCCAGAAGACTCTTTGTAGTTTTAAACAGTAAATAGAACCATCAGTATGCCATTTTAGGCAGCCATGACACCTCTCCACAGGAGCCTCAGCAGGAGGGGCAGGACATGGCAATGAATAGAAAGAGTTATTAGCATCAGGAAGGAGGACCTGAATGGAATGTTGGGATTTGCATCCGGAAGGAAGCAAAGGAAAAGCTCACAATAGGCAGAAGGGTCGCCCCTTAGCCTGTGCCACAATAGGTTCTCTGGGGGTCAGGATTCTGGCACACTGGTGAGGAACAGTTTCAGATAAATTGGCACTGTTTATTTTCCTACACTATAGCACAGTAGATGCAAGGCATCTGAGCCCTCTTCAAAGTTATTCATTTGCACAGCAAGAAAGGCTCAATCCTAATCCCATTGAAATTAATAAAAATTTCCCTTTTATCCTCTGTGGGAATAGGATTGTAGCCCCAGTGTGCAACTTCCTTCCTAGTTTGAGTTCCACAGAAAGTTGGTCAGAAGCCCAGGGAGATAAGAGGGGACAGAGGAAAAACCCAGAATTACATAATTTCTGAAGGAGTAGCATTAAATTCAATATCTACCCAGGATACTAAATTCATATTTAAGTTTTGTTATTAAAAATAAAAAAATCAGTCACCTAGGCATTACAGTGCTAGCATTTTATTTCTGAGCATTTTAATTAAAACATGAACCCACTCTAAATGACAGAAGACTGAATGAGATGCCACAGGCATGATATCAAATACATATTGGATTGTCTAATGTCTTTATTTAACATGAGTTTTGCTCAGGTTGTAATCAGATTGACTTGGGACACTGTGTTGGTCTGTGTGTCATCTTTCTGAATCACGTAAACCCAAGACGTTGGTTTGACTTGATTCAAAATCTGAGTAAACCATGTTGGAAGCCTGGGCATTCGCGGGCAGGGGACAGTTTCCACACACAGATGAACCATAACCCCCAGAGTCCCAACAGTCCTTGCTTAAAATTAGATAGATATAGATGATAGATGATAGATAGATAGATGATAGACAGATAGATAGATGATAGATAGATGATAGATAGATAGATAGATGATAGATGATAGATAGATAGATAGATAGATAGATAGATAGATAGAGATAGATAGATGATAGATGATAGATAGAGATAGATGATAGATAGATGATAGATAGATAGATAGATAGATAGATAGATAGATAGATAGATAGATGATAGATAGATAGATGCTCAGTTGTATAGAACTTCTTAGCATCTTGTGATTTCCACTGAGCACCAAAAGGACATGTAGAAAGGAAATATTTCTGGGTCTTCTCAAGGTTCATAAAGAAGAACTATAGTTCAATATCTGTGGATAGAAATGCCTCCTTCCAACTCATGCATCAGAGAACACTAGTCGCACAAAGCTTTGTGGATCTGACTCTTACAAAGCATAAAAAAAGTCCTCTCTCCTCATCTTCGTTCCAAAGAACAGGTCATTTGCCATTTTAAAAGCCATGCAAAAGTTAATGTGTCACCACCACTTAAGTGGTCATGGCACCAGAAAGCCTCAGTTAATGGGAATGAGTGCAAGCAACCTTTTTGCAACCATCTATTAGCCATCAAGAGAGCTCTGATAAAGCAGGATGCTAGTGAAGGCAGAGTCTTTCTCCATTCATGCTTGAATTGTTTGAGTGCGGACTATGCTAACCACCACTGATACATGGCATTCCAAAGATTGAGAAGAGGGACAAGCTTTTTAAGTAAGAACCTTGGCTTAACCAATGTATTTAACTCTAGCCAGCAGGTGGGACTGTTATCTAGAAAGATTTCTAGTATTGCCTCCATAGCTGCATATTATTATTATTATTATTATTATTATTATTATTATTTATCATCATTAAAAAAAGATGTTTCACACTATTGGTAAGTTTTAACTGTATATA